AATAGTAAACTAATGGCTGATGCAATAACGAAGCGCCCAAACTGTACTGCCGATCCAACTCCGCCTTTCCATATTAGACCGGGAGCTGTGGGCAAAAATAGGGGGGTCATGTGATACAGCAGGAAACCTACTCAGAACGATAGTACTACATGAAAAAAAACCTTTAGCACTATGCCGTCACTTGAGAGCGGTACATGTAAGTACAGGGGAAAATTGAATTTTCTGTCCAGAACGGGTCGGAAAAGACTAAATGATTTTTTACGGCTTTCTTTAGTATCACGGATGCCAACAAAATAATCACGATGCACTTAGTGCCGTACAGAAATAATGGTGCCGGAAGCCATAAAGAATTTTTAATTTTCAGGAAATTTTCTATGCGGAAAATATACTAATTAACTTACGGCATTGTTACAGTTCCTTTCTGTAATTTTTTACATTTAAAATTTACCAACGCCGTTCATATCTGCTGGTACAGGGGTGAGAAAACTCGGGGCGCAACCTCTAGCCTTATATAGTATAATGGTGGTGAATTGATACAACTTAAAATTAAATGATTTTAATAGTATTTGATAAATTAACGACAATTTTTATAATGCCGTACATTTTTCCTGGAATATATGGCCACACGGGGAAAACCTCGAAAACTCTCTATAACGCGTTTTATTTTATATTTTTGAAGGATATTTCAAATTTCGATTGTGATTTAAGATTTAACTGTGATTTAAGAGTGATTTAAATCAGTTAAATCGTGTCGGTAGGCCCTCGATATTTTCTATCAAATTAAAATAATAAGTTCGCACTGTTGAGTAACAGTCCGTGTAAATAATTAGTACATTTTAGTATTTTTAAATGAACTTGAATGATAACAATCTGACGATTTTCTGTGAAATCAGTCACGCGAACTTTTTAGATAATAAGATTTAAAATATCCGTTTTTTAACAAATAAAGCTTTGTTGTAAAGCTTTTATAATGAAAAAATACTATTCTTTAATAGGCAATTGCAAATTGTACTTTTGCTAATTAGAATTAGAATTATTAGAAGAAGGTCATTAATACATATATACTAAGTGACATATAAATCCGAACACCCAGTTTAAATGGTTTTATTTTAATAAAATTTTGTATAAGTACTTAATGAAGCATAATAAGTAAATGATAAAAATTTCAAAATGATTGCACTGCTTTAAAGCCCGTTGACCTTTAATAATGTGTGGATGCACCCTGATGTGCTACGCATTCTCCAACGCGCCTAGGCATGCTTCTGATCAAGTGATCAATGTCCTACTGTGGTATCTCATTCCAGGCAACCACCAACTCCTCTCGAAGTGCTTCTAGAGTCTGAGGAGGACGTTGCAAATTGAGCAATCTCCTACCCATCCTATCCCACACGTGCTCAATTGGGGATAAGTCGGGAGATCTTGGTGGCCATGGTAACAATGTGACATCATTATGTTGAAAGAAGTCTATTGTGACTCTTGCAACATGTGGTCGGGCATTATCTTGTTGGAAAGTTGGATCTGCCAGGGTGTCAAGATAGGGTAAAAGATGGGGTTCTAGAACTTCGAGGATATAACGTTGCGCGTTCATGTTACCTCTGATGAAGATTAAAGGTGACCTGGAACCATAAGCTATAGCATCCCAAACCATAACTCCAACAGTGTGATGAACATGTCTTTCAACAAAAAACTGTGGATTCCTCCTTTCACCACGTCGCCTTCTAACCCTGACACGACCATCGTGCATGCCTAAACAAAATCGAGACTCGTCACTAAAGACAATACTGTTCCATTCCTGATCCCAGAGTGACCGTTGTCTGCACCACACAAGGCGATTACGTCGGTGTTCTCGAGTTAAAGGGAGGACCCAGTGTGGCCGGTATGAAAACAAGCCAAAACTTCTCATTCGTCGGTAAACACTTCGCATGCCAATAGGTCTTCCGTGTTCTGCAAACCATTCATTTGCAATGGACCTGGTAGTGGAGAAACGGTCCCTTAAGGCTAATAATCTTAGGCGGCGATCTTCACGTCCAGTGCCCCTTGCTCTTTGCGTACGGCCTTCTCGAAGCCATGCCTGACAACACCTAACCACAGTGTCTACACTTCTTTGCACTCTAACTGCAATTGCCCGAAAAGAAAGTCCAGCTTCCCGAAGTCCCACTATACGGCCCCTAACAAACTCACTAAGTTGACGAAATCGTACAGGTCTCCGTACTCTAGGCATCGTAACCGATCGTAAAGGATGTCAAGAACCAAAATCCGCCAACGTTGATTCTTTACTGCGGCTGAAATATTCATTTTTAGAGCGTTAGTAAATTAAAAAAAGCAGTATAAAAACCGGAATGTCCAACTGATAAGGCTGAAAATTTTTTCACTTGTTATTTAAAGTAAGATAAATACATTCACCAACTTTTATTAAAATAAAACCATTTAAACTGGGTGTTCGGATTTATATGTCACTTAGTATATGTGTTGATGATTATTCCATTGGTTTCTTGTGTCAAAAACACTTACTTGAGATTCAAAACTAGAAATTAGTTGCGCATCCACATTTCCTTATTCATTCCGGAAATTACATATGCAAATTTGCTGAATTTCAAAAATGGGAGTGGTAATAAAAGATAATCTTTCGTTGGTGAGAAAATATACTACAGACAGGAATATTTCGGAAAGTGAAAAGGTTATTACATTATTTTTCATTTCCAGCCTTTTAAATTTTATAGAAATTTATTTTGCAGTGTCAATAGAAAATACAAATCAGCACCACCTAGATGTGAGGCACTGCGAAAATGTTTGATGTGTAATGCGTCATTCCACATTTTTCTGTGATGTGGCTTAATTGCGCGCACAACGCGGAGCGGTGGCGATCTCTCGTAATGTTCCTCAAAGTTTTTGAAAACACAAAAAATGGAAAAAGCGTAATTTACAACTTTGAACATAACCTGTCTTCAGATAGGACAACATATAAATAACCCAATCGTCCAGATGTGATCTTGCTATTCTGCTACTCAACCAGTATATATACTCTACAGACTATCTCGGGATTATGTAATCAACAAAACATGGTGGGGAACTCACTTGCAACTTGCAGCAAGGTCATTGAGCGTGTCGTTGGTGGTAATAGTTGGTAATCTGATGGAAATTGTTACGAGGGTTGTTTCAAAAATACGGTTCCCAACGATGTAATTTATATACAGGGTGACTTCGAAGTTGAGTCATTTATTTTAACAGTGATTAGATCTGATCAAAAGAAATGCTTTTTTCCTTTAACATTTTTCTGGTAAAATTAAAGTAACAAAGTTATAGCCCTTTAGAAGTTTGAGTACCGCCCTGTCTCAATAATAATATTATGTGCTCGTGTTTGGCAACAACGGATATAATCCGCCTGACCGGTTCATCGCATCGGAAACAAGAAAGCGAAAGAATTTGAAACGTTTATCACGATGTTTTTCGTCAGTCGATAACGCGTTAGTGAATAGGAGTGTTTGTTGCGTGGCTCAAACGAAACCAAAAATGGCACATGTTTACGAAAATGCTGAACTTGTGGACATGATTCTTATTTACGGGGGGGCAGTCTTTACAAAATGCTCCCGGGTGCATCACGGATTTATGCGAATCGGTTTCCCAATCGAGTGCAACCAACCCCTCGTGCCTTTGTTAATGTAGTGCAAAGGGCTCGTGAATCAGGTGACTTAAGACCTCACAGGTCAGGGCATGCTGCTCCAAGACCGCACGATCAAATACAGGTCCGCACTGAAATACTTGTCGGGACGATACTTTATTAAACAAGGTAACATTTTTTTTTATTTATTTTTTTATTTTTACACACATATTTTGGTTTATCTTCCTTCTACAATCATTATCTGAAAATTAATGACTCAACTTCAAAGTCACCCTGTATATTCGTATGAAGATTGAGAAACTGTTGTTAAGTTTTGCATATGGAAATAAAACAACACGGCAGGTAGTTTTAAATGACTTTATTGTTTTTCGAAGTATTCTCCACGAAGATTAATAGACATCTGCATGCGCTCGAACCAATTTTCGAAGCACTTATTCCACTCGTTTGCTGGCAGATCCAAAACGGCATTTTTGAATGCGTCAACTGCTTCTTCTGGTGACTGGAACCTTTGACCACGCAGTCTGTTTTTAATTTTCGGGAAAGTAAAGAAACCGTTAAAACTTAGATCGGGACTATATGGAGGATGGTCCAATAATTCCACGTTTTCTTTCGTTAAATACTGCCTTGTTTTTTGGGCTGTGTGCGAGCTTGCATTGTCTTGGTGGAGGATGATTCTTCTTTCGGGGTTGATTTTTCGAAGCTCGGTGATGACTTTTGGCAAACAAATGGTGGTATATCAATCCGCAGTAACAGTTCTTTGCTCATTAAGAGGAATTGTTGCAATATGACCAGCTTTTGACACAAATGTCGCGACAATCTTTTTCGAAACACTTCGAGAACGGATGACTTTTGTTGGCTTTTCTTCACCTTGAAACACCCAAACATCCGACTGTCGTTTATTTTCTGATTCCTAACAGTAAATCAACGATTCATCACCACTAACAATGCTGCACACATTTTTTGAGTTTCCGGAATTGCATTATTTTCAGGTGTAATTCATTCAAACAGACTTTACAAGAAGTTGGTTCCTCCATGGATAACAAACATATCCCGAATGCAATTGCATAGTTGATGTCAAGATGCCTGTTCACAAATCATTAAGTAAACATAGCATTTTACTGAGGAACCAACTTCTCATAACTGTGATAATGAATCACACCTGAAAATAATGCGATAAGTATATAATATGGATATACAATGGTTTGTTTTGTAACTTACCAACCTCCATCAAGAGAATAGCTTGGTTGTAAGCTTCTGGACTTCCATACACACAAATATAATATTATATAATATATCCATGTGCATTAATTTTCCTAACTCAACAATTTCTTGAAGATACCACAGGTTGTGGAATTTGTTCAATGTAGCGAGGTATTTTTGAGTGATCGATATTATTTACAAGAAAATTATAAATTATGGTTCTGCTGTCATGTGTCTTGAACGTCAAAACAACCTCAAGCCAGAACTGTCAGTATGTCGGAAATCAAAAGGAGGCCATACATGTACGTTAACGAAGAAGACGTAATATTATCGAAATCAAGAAGGCCATAAACGAGCCCTACAATCCTTGATTGTCATACTCCTTTCTCTCCTTCAAAAATTTCTAGATTACACTTGTCCCGTGTCAGCGTCCTCCTATTGTTAAGATATGTTTTCTTTTTAAATTGTAGGAAATTTCAGGCTGATAAAACATGATATAACTCAAAAGCAAGCACAATTTGATGCAAATAGATGTTTGTGACATAACCTCAAAATAGAGCGCTGACACGGAGAAGTAGAAAACTATGACAATCAAGGCGGCCATAAAGGCGCCCTACAATTGTAGGGACGACTGACGATACGGGCCTAAGACTCAACAGTCCACGTTTGAATTCTCCATACCAACGGGAAACGGTCGACTGATGTGGCGCTTCGTTGCCGACAACAGACAGTATCTCAGCAAGGCATCTGAAAGTTGTAATAAATTATGGCGCAAAGAGTGAGGTTAAGATTCAGTACTGACGTCCGATCCGCGCTGCCTGCTATGTTTCTATATGCAAAACTTAAACGACATCCCTCGTATCTAGATGACTTCCTGTGTTATATGAGCTCTTTGGAAAAAAAAACTTCAGCCGCCACTGGTAAGTGTTAGAAATTTTGTTTATTCATTCTGCTCTGAACCAATCACACTACCCGACCGTTCGAATCAACCAATCAGATCTTTCGTTGTCCAATAACGGTACTAGAGGTAGACTTGTTATTATAAAATAGGGTTATGTGTTTATTTGATGATGTCAAAATTATTATTTTTTTCAGGGCAAAACTGAACTTTGAAACATCTGTTTATAGAGGAGAAACTTAAAACCTGAGTTTAAAGTCTAAACTGCAATATAAATTGCTATTAATTCCTTTAAATTTTCTACAATTCAATTCATTTGCATGCTAAGAAATAGAGTACGATGATAAACTCTGGGTATGTATTTATTATTAATAAGCGTATTGTTTTCGCCATAATGATCAATTAAAGCTGTTAAAAATATTTCACATAAACCATACTTTTATGCTATTGTAAATAGGCTCATAAAATCTAGGTGACGTGTACTATGCTGATAACATTGAATTAAATAAGTGATATAGGCTCAACATTGAACAACATCATTAATTTTCAATATAGGTTTCTAAATCCTGGCATAGGTTGGTACAAATAGCAGTCTACTTTTGTCAACTTTGTTCTATGCTTTTCTGGTTTTGGTCCTTTCCTCTCGGTCTGGTGCATTTAATCTTCTTTGACACCATCCAGCCACTATAGTTTTGGTCTTCTTTTTCTCCTTCTACTGACTCAGGCTTTTTGTATTATTTATTTATTTGCTTAAAGTCTCACAAAACACCCTAGAGTAATTAGAATGCAAGAGAACCCAAAACTAGAGTAAAACAACGTGAGGCAACAATGAAATATAACTTTTAAATGAGCCAAGACTAAGATACAAATCAGTTTCAATAAAATTCATCACAGGCAAAACAATATAAAATAATAAAACAATAAAATAACCAATAGCTGATTAGACTAAGACCTACTGAGATCTGTTAATGACAATAAGTTTTTAAGTGAATTCACGTCTGTATTAAAAAAGTCAATATCAGTTTTTTTTAAATAGCTCATTGCAAAGCATCAATATATGACTCATGGGATTGAAAAGAGGGTACTTCATATTAAAAAATGTTGCTGGGTTTGTTATATATCTCTTCATCTTCTATATGTGCCATCATTCTTGTGCTCCCATATAATGTTTTCCTCTCCCAGCTTGCTATAATTTTTCTAGCTTAATACCTAAGCTTCGCTGCCATATAATACTGATCAGTGTTTCAATAACCATTCAAAAGTAAAAGCCCAGGGCTGGACCTATACAGGGCAAACGCACCAATGCGATTGTCATAGGGGATGTCAAACACAACCCCCATCACTCTTCGAAGTGAAGCAGCTACTGTGCAGTCTCCGTTTTATGGGGTTTCCAGAGCGGAAAAACATTGTCTTGTGAGGATGCTTCCTCTGCTTTTCAATTGTCAGCAGTGGTAAGTCAGGCCCTATCTGCTGTAGGTCTGGTCATTGATGCTGAGTCTTCATCTCCTTAAATAGATGATCATCTCATCTGGATAAAGTCTGTTGGGAAGACGATACAAATATGATCATTGAAGTGAGACAACAAGTTGTAGATTCAACCTAGGATCCCTCATTCTGCTTTCGTAATGTTGGAAAATCGAATGAAAACATGTTTTACTAAATAATTTAAAAGTCTGGTCCTGGATTTCACTAAGCTGCCATGTGCCTATGGGCCCCTACATGGCTTGAAACAGTCCTGCATAGAGCTCCTAAAAGACAGGCCTGGGACACTGTCCTATCTTTCTTTAGGGTAACTGTGCGTTTGATAAACATGTATATATTTTATTTAGCAGATGCATTCATTGATATTGGAACATTCTACAGGGTGTTTTAGAACTATGGGATCAAACTTGTTGGGCTTATTCAGTGTAACAGTAGAAAACATGTGAGTATAGGCACCCATATCCGGAAAAGTATCACTACGGCACTACAGCCCTAAGACGCGTTAAAATTTAGAAAGACCATGAATTGCCTAAATAGGATTTAATGCATTTAATATTTGCCTTTTGTACATGATATCATCACAACAATTGTTCAAAATGTCTTCCTCCAACCTGAATACACCGTTCCTGTGGGGACATGTAAAATCTTTGGTTTACGAAACTCCCGTAGAAACAGAGCAAGACTTAATTGGACGAATTACAGCAGCTTTTGAAATCATTCAAAACGAGTTTCAAATTTTTTGTTAAGTCAGACATTTAAATCGATGTATTCAGGTCAGAGGAAAACATTTTGAACAACTGTTGTGATGATATCATGTACAAAAGGCAAAAATTAAATGTATTAAATCCTATTTAGGCAATTCATCGTCTTTCTAAATTTTAACGCGTCTTAGGGCGGTAGTGACACTTTTCTGGATATGGGTCCCTATATAATAGCCCCTAAAAGTTTGATCCTTTAGTTTTGAAACACCCTGTGTACAGCAAGGTCTAGTCTAACACTTATGGGCTTATAGACGTGTTACATAGTTGACATTTGCATGTTTCAAGTTAACATGCTATTTCACGAGTCTTAAAAACACTATGTTTAGCAGATAGATGGAATATTTTATATATTTAGGAAACTAGCGGGTCGAACAGTCTTCATAACAGGGGCAAGCAGAGGCATAGGCAAAGCTATAGCTCTAAAGGTAGCCAAAGATGGGGCCAATGTAGTAGTAGCTGCCAAAACAGCACAACCACATCCCAAGTTGCCTGGCACTATTTACTCAGCATGTGAAGAAAGTAAGAAAAATTTGTTTTGCTATTATTTCTCACTAAACATTTATATTCTATTAACGAGAGTAATATTTCAACAGCAGAAAGTAAATCTAAAAATAACATAAAGAGTTCCTATAAATATACAAGGTTAATCCAAAGTAAACAGGACAAAGAAAAAAATTAACAAACATTTTTGGTTTCAGAAAATCGAATTTATTTTATTCAAAATAGTCTCATTTAGAGTTAATACAGTGATTTGCATCGACCAACAAATGATTATCTTAGCTTTAGCTAAGAAAATAAATTCCAGCAGCATTGCTTAAGTAGTTGACTTAGTTGGAAAGTGAAATGCCAGTTTTTTACATCTTAAAGCGAAAACTTCACAATAAATGAATGCCATCTGACAGTAGAGTAAGTAAAAAAACTTTTGTTTCCAAAGGCAACTTGATTTTCTGTTGTGTTTGTTAAAATTAAAAAGCCAATAAATTTTGTGACACAACTTTTAGGACATACGTTGCTCAAACTTACATCCATTTAACTCAAGGACACAGACGCGGCGATGAGTCGCTTGCATTCTTATTTGGTCAATGCGGTCTCTCGCTTTGTTCATATCAATCATCGACGTTAATATTACAGTCTCAGCTTGAGGCAAAAACGTGAGTTCTCAGTTAATAGGCTATTATTTTCTTTAATTTTTTAATTGTAGATTTTTAAATTCTTGACGTCATCTGGAACACAAGGCACAAAGGTCGGTTCAAATTGTATTTTAATATCAAAATTATAAAGGTTATTGGCAATTTACTTGATATATATATATATATATATACTTGAGACGTGGTCATTGTCGTCTAGATCAGTTAGGTGAAAAATAAAGCTTCCGCTTTTTTTTGGGAACTTTGACAAAATTCAAGCAAAGAGGACTCTTTATACTTTATTAATCTCTAGCCTTCAATGGACTTTGCCATCTTCATCAGGAGCTGCAATAACATTATTTTTTTCGACGGTTTTTGGCGTAATCACAAATTTTGGCTGGCCAACAGGTTCGCCGTCTTCCACGATCCTCTTTGAGCCGTGTAAACAACTCGCGGACTCTGCTACGAATTAAACAATCATCACTATACACTTGTATCAACATCTGATGCATTTCGGTAAATGTTTTACCAAATTTAACACAGAACTTAATAATTTGAAATGTTGACAGGGCATCAACCAAAGATGTACCTATCCAACGCTAGTCTCCGATAATAGATGGCCCTACGTGTATCGGATATCTTTCAACAGTCGTGTTTACTTTGCTATACACCTTGTAGGTCTCTCATAGTAAATTTGTAAGGATTGACCAATATTCTTCAAATAATCTTATAGAAAATGGGATTACTCTCCCAATATACACTGCAAGCAATTTTCGATGTCAAACTTCTGCAACAGCATATTTTTACAGTAGAATGGGATGTGGATTTTACCTCAAAAATACAAAACAACTTTTCTCCCAAAGGAATGGTCTGATAGAAATTTCTCAAGAGGAATACCTTTTCAAAAAATGCAATAGATTTTTCTTTTTCCTTCTATCTAGGTAAAAATATTCCTGTTTGTGCATTAGTGTAATTTGAGCTGCAAAAATGGTATGTACTACGAGCCCCTTCCCACTTCAGTTGGCCCACTTCAAGATTTCTACCAAAATATGCCTTTATAAACTAAACATGATGAAACTATTTACTTCTAAAACAATTTATTTTCTCAAAAACATTTTAGATACACTCTAGTCGTAAAAAATACATATTTGAAATCACTTAGACCTATAACTAATAGAACATCTGAACAAATAAACAATGTGCGAATAAATGCGCGAAGTTAACAAAGCAACAATTGAAAGATTACCATTGGGTAACATTATCTTTATTTTTTATTTCGGCTGAAATTCTTTGGGGCATAGTGTTAACCAAGTTTTGGCAAAAATTTGGTGTAAAAAAATTCCATATTTCTTGAAGCTTTTGTCTCAGTTCGGTAATTGTACGAGCAGGATGTTGTCGTAGAACCTTTTTCATCTCGTGCCACAAAGTTTCAATAGGTGACAGATCTGGACTGCTAGAAATCCATTTCAAAAGTGGTACATTATTTTCTTCCATCCATTTTATAGCCTTTTTTGAGGTATGGCACGCTGCACTATCTTGCTGAAACACAAAATCTTGGCCGAATGTCAAACATTCTTCCATCACTGGTAATAGCGATTCTTCTAAAATTGCCAAATATTTGTTTGTATCCACATTTCCATCAATAAAATGAAGTTTTCCTACTCCTTTTGATGACATACTGCCCCAGACGATAATATATGCTGGAAATTTCACTTTTACTCTTCAGACAGTGAACATGGAATGCTTCATTTTTTTGCGAATACCTCTACTGCGATTGTCACCAACACAGACTTCGAATCGGGCCTCATCACCCCATTGTATTGCACACCATTGTTGAGGTGTCCGTTGTCTATGTTCTTTAGCCTATCTAAGCCGATTGTTCTTTTGCAGTGGAGTTAATAGTGGCTTTTCTTTGGCCTATAAACAAGTTGTGCAACTTTAGGGTTTTTACTTCACTTTTTTTATAAGAAAACTTACCTTGCAAGTGCTAAATCCCTGTTTGTGGGCCTCTCTATGAGTTGTGGACCTCGAAATTCTCCTTCCAACAGCGTCACTCCACAGAGTACTTAATTGTAAACAATTGGCACTATTCTTCTTAATGCTCTTCGGTCGGCATTTGTGATATTACTTTTTTTCACATATCGTGGCTTAATATTAACTGAACCAGTTACGTGATATCTTCTAACAATATTTCCCACACTGTACCGCGATAAGTCTAACAAAGTTGCAATTTCTGAGTTTGATTTCCCAGAATTAAAAAATTTAATTATCAGTAACCGAATTTTCTCACTAATAACCTTTCCTCTACCCATTTTGAAAACCTTAACTACCCAAAACTATTTTAAACGTATTTTGACAGCTGTGATTAATAAAAACAATTGTCATGGCTTTTATTTTTCACAGCCACCTATGGGTTATAGACTTATTTTGCATTGAAATGAAAATGGGTTGATATGCTGTAATTGCAACATGTGTTATTTTTATGCTGCAAATTTGATTAGGGAGTGATAAAGTTGGTGTTTTCTACTATATATCATCAAAATATTCATTGTTAATATTCTAAACCTATAACACCTTGCTACATTTTTATTATTTGCGTTTGATAAGAAAAAACTAAGATTTCAATAGTTGGGCCAACTGAAGTGGAAAGGGGCTCGTATATATTCTGTATTCTGGAAATTTCAAGTCTATATCTTTATCCACCCTGCAGTATATATTTATGCATATCATGTTTAATTTTGAAATTCTAACTTCAAAAACTCTGAATCTTGGTAAAGGCGCGACTTAGGTTCCATAATTATATGAACTTTCTATGTTATTTTTGGGCACTCCCTCCATGATATGATAACAATTTTGATGGAGTGATACCAAAGACAGATAAGTATTTGAATGCAGTATTTTTCTTCATATAATTTTCGATACCAATTTTCTGTTCATTTGTAGTTGAAAAAGCAGGAGGCAAAGGTCTGCCCTGCATTGTAGATATCAGAGATGAAACAGCAGTACAAAAAGCTGTGGATGAAGCTGTTCAGAAGTTTGGTGGTATAGATATTCTTGTCAACAACGCATCTGCAATTTCATTGACGGCCACTGAAGACACTGATATGAAGCGATATGATTTGATGCACAATATTAATACTAGGGGAACATTCTTAGTGTAAGTTTCAAGTTACAAGAACGACGTATTTATATTATAATGTCCAAGGAATAGTATCATTATAGGGGAAGAAATATCACACGGGAAAACCGAAATCAGATAAGCATCCTAGATACTTGCAGCTTCTCTACTCCGAAAATCCTGCGCCTCTTTATGACCATTTTCTTAATTTTCGATTTCAGTTCAAAACTGTGCCTGCCACATTTGAAGAAAAGTAAGCATGCTCACATCATCAACCTTTCGCCACCGTTGAGTATGAATCCAATGTGGTTCAAAAACCATGTAGCATACACAATGGCCAAGTATGGAATGTCCATGTGTGTGTTAGGAATGCATGAAGAGTTCAAGCCATTCAACATTGGCGTTAATGCCCTATGGCCTAAAACAGGTAAATCCCTATTAATATTGTAAATGAGAAAGTGTGGATGTTTGTTATTCAATACGCCAAAATGGTTGAACAGAGATTTAGTTTGTTATAGTCTGGAATAGCACATAGTCTACCTTTTATCACGGGAAATAACTTTGTAATATCTACAGCCCAAACAGTTTAATGGATTTCAAGATAAATAACATTCGTTTTCTTATCGTAATCTCTAAGGCGGCTCCGACGCAGTGAGTTTCAAGCCATTCAGCTGCTTCAAAACTGACACTGCATTTTTCAATATTTTTGAATGAAATTCATACAGTATGTTCAGAAGATAATTGCCCAGGGTGCTATAGGAGCACTTTTTGAAATTTTGTTTTTGCACAAGTTTTATGATGGGTTGAAGTGCGCACTTTTTCTGTCCACTTCGCGATTTTTTTAAAAAGAACCTAGTGAAAAAAATGAAAAAGTGGCTCACTAGCACCCTGTGGGGTTTTGTTTTCAGCACACTCTGAAAACTTCATTTAAAAATATCAAAAAATAAAGCGTCAATTTCGAAGCGCGCACACCTCTACAAATCATATTTTCTGCACCGCACCTGACTACGCTTAGCTGGAACCTGATTGCAATAAAATTGCCACGTATCTGTCGAGTGTAGCGCGACGCCGACTACGACGTTGTCAAGCCTATGCTCACTTTCTGCTTTATCGGATTTTTAACTTTTTCAAACCGAGGCGGTATCCGCCGCCAAATTTTTGACAGACGTAAATAATATATTGAAAAGTCAAGCTCACCTTCCCGATACTCTAAATAGGTCATTGCCATCGTAGTTACCCGATTTTTGAATAAAATCTAACACATGAATCAGATTTTCACATATGACATCTATATTCAAACATTTTTGCTACTGGACCTACTTGGTGTATATATATATTCAATTATTGTCGGCATTCACGTTTAAAATAGCAAGTTGGTTCGCAAAAATTCAGTTCTGGGAATCTATGGATTTGATTTCCGGAATCACAATTTACGAATAGCGGGGGAGCTTCAGATCTGATCAAAAACATAGTAGCCGCAGCTAATATAATTCGATTTGGCAACATCGTATCCTTCATTTGCTTGGACTGCTCCATGTTGTCAAATCCATTGTTTTTCAATCAAGTTTAAGAGAAATCCGTCGTAGCGTGGACAGTCATGGTATAAGCTAGAAGACAGACCTGTTGAAAATTGAGGTTTTCCCAGGGGGTGGAAATATTCGCATCGACTGAGTATCATAAAGCCTACGTAGATCGCAAAGCCTGACTTCTGGCTACTGATCTTCTTACCGTAGGATTTGACTTTGACTACTTGAGATTGAAGATTTTGCTTATATATCTTATTTTAAATAGGAAATCAGAAGAAAATTGTTCAACATTTGAATGTTCATGCAAAAATTCAATATGTAGACTTTCAGTCGATTTCTTCGATGAGCGCGTGACAACAACGCTTCCAGTTCTCTACTGCCTTCCAATTTGGAACCGAACTATAGACAAGGAAATGATACAGTGGCGTAGGTGGCTTCTTAGGGGCCTCATATTTAAATTTGTAGGGGGATCCTCCCAACTGTGGCAAATCCTAAATGGAGGGTAAATTTGATGTCTAGTATTTTTACAAAAGAAACATAAATGCTTGCATTGAATAATATGAATTGTCACGTATCGACTATGGGCGCACGCAGGAAGTTTTCTCAGTCAGAGAGGGTGGAGACAACTTTCATTAAAAATGCACCTCAATGCAATCCTCAAATTCAGATAATTGTTTTTTGGTTTGCGATGTCTACAACACATCAATCCATGTAGGGACATAGTGGGTAATGCTACTTTAACTTTGAAAATTGTTTAAGTGGCAGCGATGTTATGAGTAAAAATTAAAATAACTCTCACGTCGTCCCAAAGTTTGTTTTTATTTGCTTTACAACTTTCTGAACATTTTTAAGAGTAAACACTTGCGCTTTATGCATTTTTTCGTACGTGGGGGTCCCGTATCATTGTTACGGGGGTAGGTACACCCCTGAAATGACCACAGTCAATTCATTTTTCATTTTTTCTTAGTCATTCGTATGTTTTATATTAATTCCATGTAATTTTGTGGTGCAAGTAGGATCTTTATCGCCAATATTTTCCAGCAATTCACACAGCAGCCATCGAAATGCTGACAGGCGCCGAATCAAAAGCCTTTAGCCGGAAGCCAGAAATAATGGCTGATGCAGCCTATGCAATCCTTACGCAGGATCCGAAGACCTGCACGGGCAATTTCTTTGTGGATGAGAAGGTGCTGGCTGAAGCCGGCGTCACTGACCTGACACAGTATGCCTTTGTACCTGAGAATCATGATAAACTGATGCCTGATTTCTTCTTAGATGAGAATATACCTCTTTTAACAGGTAAACATTATACATGTTTATGATTTGAAGGTCTACAGCGCTGTCGTTTTCCGAACGCTAAGCGACGTATGAAATTTTCACCAAATGAAAGAGCAACACTTAAATTTTTAGAAAGACTTACCTTCAATTTTTCTATCACTTCTTAAAATGCAAAAAATTGGTCTGACCCAGATGCAGAGAAATCTCCTTTGACGAACACCAACAGGACCGGTTAAAACAGTCTTTTAAAAGAAATACAACAACAATTGTGTATTAAATGAAAACTGGATATATTAAATAAACTGGGACATTTAAAACGTACAGTATTGGACAAAAGTATATAGACAAATATGAATATTTATTTACCTAAATATCTTTAGAAAACGAATTCATTCTTCATTGCTCCATAAACAAATGCGTTATTAGTAGAAAAACTAAATTCCTTGTTTTTACATTATCTGCAATGAACATAATACAAGTCTGAATATAAGCACTTTTTTATGAGGGACAAAAATATGTAGACAAATTCTTTTCAACATTAGTTTAGTACAGTTTCGTGTCAGAAGAGGATTAGTTTGTGTTCATCAAGTATTGTGGAATAAGTTGAGTGATTTTAAGACCATGCCGCGTGGTCCAGAAATTTATTTCGATGTGAAAACTAAGATCATTGAGTTATACAAAGATGGTCAACGTCAAGTCGACATTGCCAAAAATTTGAAGCTGAAGCGTAAAGCAGTTTGGGCAATATTGAACAAATATAAGCAAAGAGGTATCTTGGAAGCCTCTAAGAGAAGTTCTCGACCTAGACAAATAAATGCTAGATTAGTTAGATTAATAAAAGTAATTTCGTCTAAAGATCCGTTTAAAACCCCAGGACAAATAAAAACTGAAATCGAGACAAAAGGAATTGTCAGTGTTTCTACGAAAACTAAAAGTAGAAGATTAAATGATTTGAAATTATTTGCACGTCGCCCAAGAAGCCGCTAATCTCGAGGAAAAACCGTAAGGACCGATTACAATTTGCACGGTTGCATCTTGATTGGAGCATCTGTGACTGGAAGAGGGTATGTTTCAGTGAAGTTCAATACGTTTGGATCACATGGTGTTCATTACGTTAGACGTCCTAGTGGACAAAGATTGAACCCCAAGTACACTTTGCCCACTGTCAAACATGGAGGCGGGTCTGTTAGGTTTGGGGTGCTTTTCGGGGTTTGGGATGGGACCTTTACCTAGAATAGATGGCATTATGGATAAGTTTGTATACACAGACATACTAAAGCATGTCATGTTACCCTATATGGAAGACAATATGCCCTTAAGATCAATCTTCCAGCAAGATAATGACACGATGCACACTCCAAATCTCGCAAAGAAATTCTGTGTGGATGAAAAAATATCAGTTCTCAAATGGCCTTCACAGTCTCCCGATATAAACCCCATTGAAAATGTATGGGAATACTTAGATAAGCAAATACAAGATAAAAATTATTCAAAAAAGGATGAACTTTTTGCTGCTTTAGAGCAAAAGTGGAGACAGATTGATGAATCTTATATCAAGAAACTTCTACAATCTGTGCCGAGACGATGCCAGGCGGTGATTGATAATAATGCTTATATTTATAATTCAATGAACTTTGCTTCTTTTTTCTATAATTGTTTTGATTGGTCTATATATTTTTGTTCTTCATAGTTCCAGTTTTTTTCAATTAATTTTTTATTAAAGGGAGTCTAATGAATTTATTTACGTATAAGTGAGTATTATGCTATAACGAATTATATATACAGGTTGGTGTATTAATAAAATAAGTTAAAAAAGAAATGCAGCTCAATATTAATTTGTCTATATACTTTTGTCCATTACTGTATATGTATATAACTGTTTTTAACACAAACAAAAAACTTTAAACTTAAGAATAACACGCCAGAGTGACACGGGGGGTAAATTAGCTTCAGATCACTCAGATAAAATCAACATGACCTTAAAAAATTTTGTAGTTTTCGAGATATTGCCAGTTTTAAGTTTTAAAAAAATCTCTACTTTTGGCTCCTTTTTTGATTGTTATTGAATTCAAGTTTTGTCGTTGAAATCGTAATACTTGCGAAAGACTACAAATAAAAAATAATATTTTTTAAAGAGCATTACATAGGCTTCTTTTTAAGATTATTTGCCGATTCAGTTTCTTTACAGTAATAAGTCAAACCTTAGTAAAGGTTTTCACATTAAAACAAAATATAATATTTTTTTTAGCATACCGTGCCAGCTTTCAATGAAGTTAATAATCTATTGTCTCGACCAACTGTTAATGGTAGCCCAGGAAAAAACATCATAAGTTATAAGTTCTTTATAGCCAGTTAAGAAAGAAGCAAAAAGTAGTGATTTTTTTATAAAACTTGAAAGTAGCAATATCTCGAAAACTAGAAAACTTTTAATAAGGTATGTTGATTTTATCTGATTGATCTGAGGAAAATCTACCATCCGTGTCACTCTGGCGTGTTATTTCTGGGACACCCTGTACGGAGTAACACAAAACCATGAAATAAAAAGTCACTTTAAGGACACGAACTTTCATATATTGTCGTTTGACTCCCGATTTTCTTTAAAATGGCGTCTTGATATCGTATTTCTAATTTAGAAAAAAGCTGCAAAGACTCTGTATTTTTGTGATTTTCAACGAAACTTTTGAACTGCTTGGGCAGGGTAATAGCTTTACCAAAATCTGGAATAGCTTCTGTTGGTGCTGGAACCTCATCGACATCAGAATCATCGGAAAGTTCTAGTATTTCAATTGAATTTTCAATTTCTTGTCCTGAATCTGGATCTTCAACATACAAACCTTTATCTAGGTTCAAAAAATCATAAAAGTTTTCATTATCAGTCAATCTCAATAAATCCTTATTTTTTTTGCGGATATCTGAAAATACAGTAAGTGGTAAATCATCTTCTGGATCAGGTATATGAGCCTCGTTTAACTGGTCTTCCTTTTGCATATTTTCATGCTTAAATCCTGCTCTGCGGAAGTACCTTTGCACTGTTTCTTTGGTTACTTGGTCCCAGGCAAGTTTTGCCAAAGAAACTGCATCCAGTGAGGTAATTTTCTTTATTATCTCAAAAGCTGTACCACCAGTTTCAATGTTTACCAGCAGTTATTCGAGTATTAGACTTCGGTAAGTTTTAAAAGTTTATATAATCCATTGGTCAAGTCAAAATAATTTTTTTATATTACTCAAGCGAATGTCTTTTGGATGAGATGCTCCATTGTCTAAAAATAACAAAATGCTTCTTTTTTCTTTATTCGTGTTCCAATCTAGGTCTTGCAACCACTTGGAGCAATTTCTACAATGAATGTGTCGCCCACTTTGTCTTTTGTGCATAGACGTCAGACTAATGCTGAATGGAAATTTAATCGGAAGCGTGTACCCAAAGAATAAGAACGGTACATTCCCAGTTAACTCCAGAAAATCCCTAATTCAGGCCGTGCAGAAATGCATCACATAGGATGCGTTTGTACCGAAAGATTAAAGTCGGTGAATCCTCGGTTTACTTGAGAGTCCCAGCGAAGATGGTACGCGTTTCTTTTTATTTTGTTTTCTGTCCGGCTAGGAGAACATTTTCTCTTGTCCGCGTCCGTTCAAGAGATGCAAATGTCCGTGTAGGAGGGGTGTCGTGGAAGGAGAATTTCACTGTATACGGTTGACTGGTGATTCTGCCATTAGAGTACTATTTTCAAATTATATGCAAATATTTCGTTCTTCCAATTCCTTCATAGTCGTTAATTCTCTTCTGTTTTCAAATAGGTGCAACTGGACCAACCTTAGCACCAAAACCTGAGAGCAGCAGCAGCACCAGCAAAGTGGAAGCGGAAGGCGAGGTTGCGAAGCTGTTCAAAAAGATTGAGGGCTCTATTTCACCAGACACTGTGCAAAAGACCCAAGCTGTATTTGCATTTAACGTGACCGGAGATGAAGCAGGGAAGTGGTACGTATCAGATATCACACGTTTGGAGTGCTGCCGTCCCGACTACCTTATTTATGCTCGATGCTGTCCTGAGGATGACTCTTCTCTAACAGACAGTCTCGGGAACTTTTCGCACTGGCTATCTAGCGCTCTTCTACCGCTACACCAACGGGCTCTGCTCCTCAGAGCTCTCCTGCATGTGGTGTTTTGAGATAAACAATTGGAAATTGCCAAAAAACTACTTGACCAATATAATCCAATTTTGTTGTTATTTAGAAGTACGGATTTGAAAAATTTCAAGTAGTTGCGTGAAATTATCGTCGCATTACCAACCAGTGCCAAAACCTGCATTTTGCCTCGTTTTTCGACCGTAACATTTTTGCTATTAGTCGGATCTTTTTACGTATGATCTCACAAATACCTAAAAATCTTATATTTAAAGTTTTTCGTTCCTGTCAACACTTTCGATTGAATCCCATACAAGTACTTTAATAAAGAAAATTAAGCCAAAAATGACTGCAGGGCCTGATCAAATACCTGCATTTTTTGTGAGAGATTGTGCGTCCATTTTAGCATATCCACTCATGATCATTTTCAATCTCTCTCTGAAAAATAATCACTTTCCATCTATTTGGAAGTTGTCTAGGGTAACTCCTGTTTTTAAAAAAGGTGAGAGAAATTATGTAGAAAACTATCGGGCTATCACAATTATCAGTAATTTCGCTAAAACATTCGAAACAGTGATACAAACTGTGCTATATTTTCATGTATGCAGGTCTATCTCCGTCAGTCAACACGGTTTCATGAAGGGCAGGTCCACAGTTACTAACTTGCTACATCTTACTCAATATGTTTGAGAATCAATCGATAGACAACTTCAAACGGATGTAATAAATACTGATTTCTCTAAAGCGTTTGATAGTTTAGACCATAACATTCTACTCAATAAGTTATCTAGATTTGGTCTTTCAGATGCATTGTTGCTATTTTTCAGATCTTATTTATGTCATAGGAAACAATATGTTATGTGCAATGGACATAAGTCAAGCGAATACCCTGTAATGTTCGGTGTTCCTCAAGGATCTAATTTGGGACCTCTGTTATTTATTATGTTCATAAATGATATTTCTGAAGTTATCGATGCCGATTTTCTTATATATGCTGATGATATGAAACTTTTCTGTAGAGTCTCTAACATTGACGATTGTCATCGCTTGCAATGCAACATTGTAAGGGTTAACAACTGGTGTCGTGAAAACAGACTTGTTTTGAATGCTGCTAAGTGTCACGTTTTGTCGTTTACTTTAAAAACAGGGGTAATGATGTATGAATATAGAATTGGTGACAGGAAACTTGACAGACCTAGTACAATTAATGACTTGGCAGTCACATTTGACAGAAAACTTTCCTTCTCCTATCACATTGAAAATGCTGTTGTGGCTGCATCAAAGGCGTATGGTTTTATTGTAAGAAATACCGGTGATTTCCACAACTCCTTTACACTGAAAATACTGTACTATGCTTATGTAGGATCTAAGCTTGAGTATGCGTCCCTGGTATGGTATCCTCATCATCAAATATATATTGACCGCTTAGAGTCCGTTCAAAGAAAGTTTTTAAAATACCTCTCATACAAAGCTGACGGGATATATCCCGCTATTGTCTTTCCTCATAGTGAGTTGATGGCGAGACACAAAATCTATAATTTAGAGAGCAGACGCAAAATGAATTCACTTAAGTTCATTCACAAGCTCATCCATGGCATTATTGACTCCAGTGTCATATTAGAACAACTTAACTTCTTAATTCCTAGATTAGCCTCACGAACTAGTTTAACTTTTTACTTAGCCAGGCCTAGGACTGACATACTTAAGTTTTCCCCTATATATATAATGTGCCGTAATTATAATTCAGTTAATAGCGTTTTAGATATATTTTCGTTTTGTGCGACTTTGGGAGACATTAATGCTTATTTTCGTTAATGCTTGCCGGTGTGATTGTTGAGTGCTGGGTAGGTAAAGCTAGAACGCTTTTTTTTCCTCCCAGTTCTGTTTTGAGGTTTTTTTTGCAGCGTTTTAGCTTTCTCTACATACATCCACAACATGCATTTGTTTATATTTTCATGTTTATCCATCCTGTAATTGGCTATGGCTGTTGGATGTTGCTAAATAAATAAAAAAATAAAATAAAACGTAGGAAACAGTAACAGCAAAAATTGCAATTTTTAAATTGTACTTTTTTAACCAATTTCCGTCCCTCGTCAGGTTGCCGAGTATCGATATTTTTGTTATTCTCAGACACATCTCAAATAGAGACCTCAGCTATTTCAGAAAACATCCACCTATGGGCGTTTCTAGCTTGAATCCAGTTGGAGTATTTTTTGTTCGAAACATCCATGTCGAGTAAACTTGAGTGTTTTTTTCTTTCAGGTATATAGATTTGAAAAATGGAAGCGGGTGCTGCGGAAGGGGAGATCCTCCAGAAAAACCCGACGCGACTCTCAGCATGGACAGCAAAAACTTCTTCAGTATGTTTACAGGAAAGATGAAACCAGCGACTGCTTACATGATGGGTAAACTCAAAGTACAAGGAAACCTCCAACAAGCATTAAAACTGGAAAAGCTGATGTCCAGTTTAAAAGCTAAATTATAAGATCAAACTATACGATAAATTGTTATGTTATTATAGATTTATATTTTTTATCATATTTGGATGTTGGAATAAGATTATATAACTTTATATTGTACCTTAAAATAATAAAATAAATGACTTTTTTAATTAAGTTTTTTCCTGAATCGTTGGTTTGGTAAAGTTTTACAAACTAAATGATTATGTTATCAACACCATATTCGGATAATTAAAAACACTTGTTTTAGAAAACAGAATATTTATTAATAACCAATTTTCAAAATGGACGGTTCACAATTAAAGAACATGGATTAGGCCAGGCGCGCAGATTCGATTTTCAGACGCACGATCGTTTAGTCCATTGATTCCCAAAGTCTATATCGACCCCTAGGGGTCTATGACAACCTGCAAGGGGTCTACGTCAGCGAAAAAAAATTTGGGCGTCCATGAAATAAATATGGGGGTCCACGATAGTGGATCTCAACACATACACTGATAGTACCTATTTACCTGCATCATACATACTATCTTATAATATCAAAACATATACATTATTTATAAAAGTACCTATGAAGTAAAAAATGTATTGTATATGTTTATAAAATTGTGTAAGTTGTAGGATGTTGGTATTCGCTTTGTGGTCGCAATACATTTTGAACTTGTAAAAACCTGAGAGTCGCAGTCTCAGAGCTTCGCTACCTTGCACTGACTTGTTCAATTCGTCACTCTATAAATACGAATGTGGGACAAATACGTTTATTCGTTTCCTGAATCTTTAAAAGGAAAGTGCTAAGAACATATTTTAAAAAATATAAACAGATATTATATCACATAAATTATAGTGAGTCAGTGATATTTTGTTTGAGAGTGCTGGAGAAAAGTAAGTACATTATTTTTTATTAAATTTTAGTTTTATACTCGTAGTTAGCAAAGATAGATAAATTACGCCAAACATGACTAGTTATTAGTAGTTAAATATTCAATCATGCAAACTTACACGAGTACTCCTCAATAGTTTCTTTTTGAAAGTTTTAGCAATCGGTAATATAATTACGGTGCAATCTCCGTAATTCGAGCTAATTGTTGCAAGATGTTCGAATTATAGAATGTTTTCGTAAAAATAAAAAAATATTTTTAATATACAGCTGCTGGATTTTCTGTCTTATTTAAATAATTTAATTTTGCCCACAGATGACTGATGCCATGTCCGAATCTAAAAAGAAATGTAGACAGTAACAGTGTTGATTATTTGAAATTTGGCTTCATTCCATCATTGCCGGACAAACAATTGGCTATGTGGCTGTTATGCAACAAAGTTTTGGGCAATGACGCTATGAAACCATCTAAACTGCAAGTTCATCTGAGAAGATGCCACCCTAATAAAACAGAGAAAGATTTGAAATACTTTCAAACACTCAAAGATAAATTTCAGAAGAGACCTACACTGGACAGAATGTTCGCTTCGACGTCACAAAGAAATGATGATGGTTTGCTGGCGTCTTACAATATCTCGTTACTTATAGCAAAATCCGGAAAACCGCATACTATCGGAGAGAAGTTAATTTTGCCAGCCGTTGAAGAGGTTTTAAAAACTGTTTTACACAAACCTGCATCTGATATCATTAAAAGAATTCCCTTAACTCTTTCAAGGGCGATGGTATATAAAATAAACCACCTCAAAGCATGCTTTAATGAGGCGGTGGTACATATTTAGCACCACTGCTAAAAATTTCATTTACAGAGCGAGCAGCGGTTCATTCCATGAACCACCGCTCAAAGTAATGGTACCCATTCACGTACAGGCGGACTGCAGTCCCGAACTGTGAACGATCTGGCCGTCAGTCCAAATTTCAGCATACACGTACAGGTGGCCGGCAGGTCTGTGCCTGCAGTTTACAAAGATTGCACAAAGTGTGTACGTGTGTGGTGGTTAATCGTCAGTCCGGGTCGTACGATAGCGACTTTCATTGTATTTAAAAATTGTGTACACAGTTTTGGTAAAAAATGTCTGATGTGACGTTAAATCAGCCATCGTTTGTTACTGGTTTTATTGATATTTATCGACAGTTACCAAGTTTATGGAATATTAAGTCAAAACAGTATTCAAATCGAAAAGAAAAGGCAAAGGCGTATGAGAAACTTATAAGTTATTGCAAAACCGTAGACAAAAATGCTTCGATGGATATGGTAAAAAAGAAAATTAATAATATTAGAAGTGCCTTTCGAAAGGAGCACAAAAAAGTTCTAAAATCAAAAAGAAGTGGATCATCTACAGAAGAGCTGTATGAGCCAACTCTTTGGTATTATAAATTACTGCTTTTTACGGCTTCGCAGGAAGAACCTAGGATGTCAGTTTCAAATGATGATGAGTCGGAGTCGGAGGGTGACGATGCCAATAATGAGGTAAGGAAATTTTTTGCAAATAAAAAAATCAAATAAAATCTTTTTATTTCTTGTCTAAAATAAATTCTTTAATTCTACAAAATTATCAAGTAAGATACATATTATAATAGGTACATTGATTAAATAAAATTTTCTTGCCAGGAAACTTTTCCAACAGTATTAAAGAAATTTTTATAATTCACTCTATTTTCTTTGGCTTCACGTGAAGCATTACGACCATATCCTGGTTGTAAATTATCTAATGGTCTTTCTGCTCTCCAGTCTCCCCTTATTATATCCCCTGTGTCAATAATTTCGGTGTCAACATCATTTCTCGTTATATATGAAGTTTTAGAACGTCTCAAAAAATTATGCAACGCGCAAGCTGCTAGTACAATTTTGTCAATTTTGTCAGGTTGCATATTAATTGGAGTATGGAATACTCGAAAGCGATTAGCTAATATACCGAACGCGTTCTCAACCGTGCGGCGCACACGGCTAAGTCTATAATTGAAAATAGATTCTTCTTTTGTTAAATTGTTTCCCGGGAAAGGTTTTAAAATATTTTCATGTAATGCAAACGCATCATCTGCCACAAAAACGAAATTTAAATTATGCTTTGTTACGTCATTAGAAGGCAAATTTAGCTTTTTTTCTATAAGTTTATCGTAAAATTTTGTATATTCTAAGACCCCTCCATCAGAAACTCGCCCATTACAGCCTACATTAACATATATGAATTCGTAATCAGCATTAACAAGGGCCATGAGAACTATACTGTGATAGTCTTTGTAGTTAAAAAAATATGACCCGCTGTTGGCTGGTTTAACAATTCGCAGATGTTTACCATCAATAGATCCTCCACAATTAGGAAAGTTCCATCTGGTTTCAATATTATAAGCTATTTCTTGCCACTCCTCTGATGTTTTTGGAAACTGTAAAAAAAATTATAATATACATTTTGTATTTTGTACTTTCAGGAAGATGTCACCCAGCATGATACTCAATTTTCACCGCTTACTGAAGATGCGTTGCAAGCACCGTCTGAAATATATCAGCTATCACCACCACAAACACCGCATCAGTCATCAACCTATTCACGTCCATCAACTTCCAGATCTTCTAATAGTGCAAAAAGAAAGAAGTATGGACAGGAAGAAAGTATCCAAAGGATTTGCGCTAAGTTGGACAGAGAAAATGATGAATGTGACAGTATTGGAGAAAATGTGGCCCATAAACTGCGCCGAATGGACAGCGACCAGAAAATGTATGCTGAATTATTACTTCACCGTCTTCTCTTCCTTGGTGTTCAAAAGAAATTATGCGAGGAATCTCATATATGTATAAATTCGGCACATAGCGTTTCATCTCATTATAATACTATGTTGCCAATGCAACTTCAATACAATCAACAGCCACAACCTTTAACTCCTTCTCCTTTCCAACCCATATTAACAAATCAGCAACAACAAACTTTCACTTCTTCGCAACACACATCAACTTACAATCAGCAACAAAATGTCACTCTTTCCCGACCCTCAGCAACTATTTCTGAAACACAGTACACAAATGCAGAAGGAGAAAACCTCGACATAAATATAAACTATATAAGACCTCTTGATAAAACTACCCCTGAAACAATGGAGGAAAGCGGCAACACGTCGAAACTTAAAGGATCTTTAACTGAATTGCTGGTTTTTAATCGATGAATTTACGAAACTTCAATGACTACATACTTAAAGTTTTGTTTTTACTTGTCGACTTGTTCATTATTACCTATTGTCTATGTTTTTGACAATAGAAATCAAAAGTTTATTTAAAATTCGTTTCTATAACACAAGTTGTTCACCTTTAAGTTTTTATGTAAGGATACATTTTTCAATAAAATACGTAGTTGAAATATTATTTTGAAATTTTACTAAAACATAAAAAATTACTTCAAATTACGACAAAAGCGAAAATTTTGGAATGCAAGCATAAAATACATAATTTTTAATAAGAATATTAGCGAGGTATTTAGGTTAAAAAATAAATACCTAGGTACTTTTATAAATGTACGCTTCTAAAAATTTTGGCTTTCAATCTCCTTCAACTATTCCATTTCTTTCTAAAATATTATGCACTGTATTCCAAAATTTTATGAACTTACCTTCATATATTCCTTTTTCAACGCCTTGTAAATCCATTCGCAGGTTTCTGGTATAATTTTTCCTAGTGCTTGGGGAGAAATAATGGCAGAAAATTTCAAATCCTCAAATGTACGTCCAGTTGCCAGATACCGCAAAGTCACTATTAACCTTTCTTCAGCACTAATGGCTTTTCTCATTACTGTATTCTGTCGTTTTATGTGGGGTTTAACTAAAGTTAATAATTTTCTGAAAGAAGCCTCGTCCATCCTAAGATAATTTTTAAAATCTTCGCTGCTGGAATCTTTCAATCGCTTCAGGAGTTTCATATGAGATAAATTTTCACGATCTCTTAACCATTCCTTCACCCAAAAACGTTTGCCATTTTTTCCGCGTTCATTAGTTAATAGCAAAATCAAAAGTAACAAAATAAGTTTCTTTTTTCTTAACATTTTACCACTGCTTTATTGTTCTTTTGTCTACACACTACAAGCAAGAACTGCGAAACTTTTGCGACGGACTGTGGATGTATGGCAAATAATGAGGCGACCTGCAGTTCTAGGACTGTCAGGCGATGGCCTGCAGGCCGCATCGTTTGTATACAACTGAACGTGTATGGTCTATATCGCAGGCCACGACTGCAGGTCAAATTTCAGTCCATTGCCTGCAGTCCGCCTGTACGTGAATGGGTACCATAAGTTGTTCACGTGTCTATAAAAGAGCGCATGCACCGACAATAGCGCGGGAGTTCGGAATACCGCATGCAAAAGCAAATTAAGGTTATGATTCATTAGTCAAGAATATATACCAGCTGTGAGTGGAGAAACACTAAAAAAGTAAGTAACATTGTATGATTTCGATGTAATTATTTTATTAAAGTTGTTTCGTTATGATTTTATCCTATATTTATTTGAAAAAAAACCTCTATCGTTTTATATTTACTGGTACTCAATGCGTACCACCGCACACATTACGTTTTTATTTTACACCCTATTTTTTTTTTATTTTCAGACTTACAACATGTCTGACTTGCCATTTAAACTAGTCGATATGACGGAAGGTGAATTATACGCCGAACTCGAAAACATTTATTCAGAAATGGAACAAAGTCGTATAAACGGTGAAGAAATTCCATCTGATTGTGAATCGTTAGCCAGTAGCAGAGACGACCAAGAAAGTGATACAGAAACTACTATTAGAAGCAACGTGTTGATATGTTCATATAGTGACTCAGAAGATGATACACCTTTGTCAACTATCGCTGGAAAACTGCAGCTAGCTTCATCTGCCTCATCAGTTGGAAGAAAGTCTCCAGTTTGGTCTAATGTGAAAACTCCTACACCACCTCCAGATTTTACTGCGCATTCTGGTCTAGCAGATTGTGTAACGAATATGACAGATCCAACACCGTACAAATTATTTCAATTATTTTTTTCTGACTCCTTGATAGAAAGTATTGTTTTTGAAACGAACCTGTATGCTCAACAACAGTTCAGCAAGCATAAACCAACTGATGTTCGTGAAATTAAAACATTTTTGGGGTTAAATTTACTTATGGGCATAAAGCGCCTTCCAAGTTATAGGGACCATTGGTCTCGCGCGCCAGATCTACATGACTCTTATGTCAGTAATCTAATGTCGGTAAAGCGATTTAGTTGGTTGCTTGGAAATATTCACTTGAATGACAATTCATTGATGGCAAAAAAAGGCGAAGCCAATTACGACAAGCTGTACAAAGTAAGGCCATTGTTGAACTGTATGTCAGAGGCATTTGGAAAATGTATGCTGCCAAGTCATGAAGTTGCCATAGATGAATCCATGATAAAATTCAAAGGGAGAAGTTCTCTCAAACAATATATGCCAAAAAACCTACTAAAAGGGGATACAAAGTGTGGATGCTGGCTGATAAAAATGGGTACTGTCTAAAATTTGATATTTATACAGGAAAACCTAGTGGTGATGTCGAGAAAAACTTGGGCTCAAGAATTGTGAAACAGCTATGCGAGGGTCTCGAAAATAAAAATCACTTGGTCTATTTTGACAATTTTTTCAACGGAGTCGAGCTAATGGAAGATCTAAAAAATGCCACTAACAAAATGTTTTTCTGCAGACAGCATTCCTAAAGCACTAAGCCTTTCTTCCTTCATTGTGTTTCTGAGGAAAGTTTTAATAGGTTTCAGCATTGAAAAAGAGCGTTCTGCTTCAGATGTCGACATCGGTATAGTGATTAAAATACTTAAGAGTTTCTTGAAACGTACAATTTAATCCTTCCTCGTTCAATAAAATGGATAGTGGAACAGCTCCAGAAGTAGTACTCAGTTCTTCTCTCTGATATAATACTTGTAACTCAGTTTTAATCCTGTTTTTGTCTAAAAATGAAAATTGTGTGCATGTGTCATTTAAATGTGCTTCAGGAAACTGATGTTTATAAACAGAAAACTTTTCAGACACAAATAAATTAGAAACAACTAAATGCCCAGAAAAGCTAAATCTTGTTCTTATTTGCGATAATACTGCATCGCATATTTCTAACGCTTCCCGTTTTTTGCTGCCTTCTTCAACTTGCCTTTTTTTTCTTGCCGGTTCATCAGTTTCCCTCTGCACTCGTCCAATCTCGTCAATAATGCTATCCATTTGTTCTCGTATAGTTTGAATTGCTGCTTCAAAATTCTCTAAATCATTTTTGACCTTAACAGAATCGGTGCATACTTTTTGTAATTGGTTAAAGACAATTTCAACATGTGGCATTATTTTATGGAAAATACTTAGCCAAAATACAAAATTTGTATCTTGGAGCTTTAATTTGTACCCACTGGCTTGATTAATCGACGAAGAATCGCGTGAAGTACTTTCTATATTGTCCATAACTTCAATCAGGTCTTTCCTATTTTCATAAATTGTATGAACACCTCGTGATTGAAAATTCCAACGTGTTTGGGAAGATCTTGGCAATCTGCGATTAACTATTTCATCCAAAATTTTTGTTCTTTGAGGAGACGTCGAAAAAAAGAGCACAATCCAGATAAATTATGGAAAAATATTCTAGCCTGCTTATTGACAGAGCATGCGCTTGTCATAATTAGATTTAACTGGTGTGCATAGCAATGAACATAATTTGCAAGTGGATAAGTTTCCTTAATAATTTTTTGAACGCCATTCAATTCACCACTCATAACAGACGCACCATCATAGCTTTGAGCTATTAATTTGTTTGGATTTTGATCTAGTAATGGATTTACAACATTTAAAACGCATGCAGCGATTGATTTGGCATCGTATCCGTCGGGGACGTAAAATCTCCAAAATCTCTCAACTGGTTGTCCTTTACACAAATATCTGAAAATAATAACTAAATGAAATTCACAGGCTACGTCCGTCGTTTCATCGGCAATTACTGCAACAAAAGGAGAATTTGCAATCTTCTTCTTAACTTCTTCATAATAAACATCTAGCATGCACTCAAGAAGCTCGTTTTGAGTTGTTTTTGAGGTACCCTTAAAAAGTTTGGCACTTTGAATATCGACTTTCAATTCGTTGTCTAATTCGGCGCTAAAATTCACCAGCTCCTTAAATATGCCTCTGTTTTCCGAATTTTCCTTTTCATCATGACCCCTTAAGGCTAACTCAAATGCTCCACAAAACCTTATACAATTAATAATTTTATTCAATACATATCGATTCTTATCCACTTGATTATTATGTTTAATTAGATCATTGCGATAAGCCGAATTGAGTTGAGTCCCAAGAATAGAAAAGCTAAAAACATTATTCATATGGACTTTAGATTTTTCGTGGGTCTTCATTTTATCCCATATATGTATAAGATCGTCTGTACCTTTTTTTGACCAAGTCTCGTCACCTCCAAATAGAACACATAGAAAACAAAATAGTTTATTCGTTTCTTCACAACCACATATTCAGCTGTTTTTATCGTACACATTTTTATTAAATTTGCGACAGCGCGATTTTTGTCCGCTACCACTTTGTTTCTCATTTTTTAAATCGGGTATTGGCCGTCCTAATTCTTTAATTTGCAGTTTTTGATCCAGCGAAAAACCACTAAATGAGTTTTTTAATATCCCGATTTTATTCATTTTCACTAGTTTTAATAAAACAGTAAAAAATATTATCACAAAACAGAACAGTTCATTAACACTAGAAGTACTAAAACAAAAACGTTATTTCTCATTTTTCAGGTAAAAAAAGACCGAAATCAGCACTAGACGTAATCATAACGAAACGACAGACCGAACAAAAACACCGCCGATATCATTTGATAACGAATTACGACTGATGATGTGCCTGGCACAAATTATACTTGTCTTTCGCTATTCACCTGATATAAAAATATCTAGCGTAGAGTTATCTCTGTCGCTCGTATGCGATGCTGGTAAAATTTCTCTCTTTTTATTTGGGCCGGCCCAAAATTGGCACAAGTTGATGACGTCAAGGTCAAGGCATGCTTTCCGTCTCGTCGCGTCGGTCGGGTGCGGGCGGGTGCTTGTGGTGTTGTCACGTTGTCAGTGTTGTCACTTCATATAATTTATACCAAAAAAAATGAAAAAGCAGAAAATAAAGTAAAACATTGAAGATTGAAAAAAATATTCTTTTTGAAGAAGACAAGGTAGTGCCATGGCACCGTGGCACTACCTCACGAGCCGCCACTGGCCTGTGGTACTGTTAATTCTTCTAGGCGGAATATTCCGAAGTTCAAATCAGATAAGAACATGAAAAGAGGTGATATCGAGTGGTTTACAAGCAATAGTGATTTGTCTGTTATTAAATGGAAGGACAAGCGTTCCGTTTTTCTCCTGTCTAACTTCCATGACCCACGTGATACTCTTGAAGTGAACCGAAAAGAAAAGAATGGATCAATTACCAAAGTGCCTTGTCCAAAAGCCCTTTCTGATTACAATGCCAATATGAATTTTGTCGACAAGTTCGACCAAAATCTTACTTCCTACAAAATAGATCGAAAAAGCCATAAATGGTGGCATCGCATTTTCTTTTTTTTCCTGGATGCTGCTGTTGTTAATGCATTTGTATTATATAAGGAGTTACAGCTACCCACACTTTCTATGAAAGATTTCCGAAGAAGTATAATACAAGGTCTTGTTGTACAACAACTGGTAGATAGAAAAAGATCTTCTTTGTCAACCTTTGAAACTGTTGCCATAAAAAAAACAAACCATATGTTTCTGAAGAAATTCGATTTGAAGGTTCATCTCATCAACCTGAACGCGGTACTCGACGTCGGTGTGCTTACTGTAGCACTAAAAAAAAAAACAAGTAAGAACGGACTGGGTATGCAGCGTTTGCAATGTGCCTCTTTGTTTAAATAAAAATAAAACCTGTTTCCAGGACTTTCACAGAAATAAATAGGAATAGGGCGGTGGTACATATATAGCACCACTTATTTTTTGCCAAATATATGAAAAATTACATGTAAAAATAAAAAATATGAAAAGCTTTGAGTATTATTTATATCCTCAAATAGCATTTTATGTGAAAAACAAGTAATAAAAAAAAATTTTTTTTGTGCCCAAATAGAGAATAAATTTTATAAAATAGTTTGCCCCTGAAAGAGTTAAGCAACAATACTGTTGAAAGACGTATTGATGAAATGAGACATGAGTTTACTATTGATTTTTTTTACTCCTGGCCGATGACGAGTTCTTTGAAATTTTAGTACAACAAACGAATATTTACGCAGAACACGTGCTACTACACGAATCGTCTGGACCCAACTCTAGGATTAGTCGATAGAAACCTATAGACAAGGAAGAAATGACTATGATCTTGGGGTTGACAATTTTTGTGGGAATTCTTCAATTACCTAGATTGCGAGACAACTGGCGTACCAATCGTTTTCTCAATTCGCCCATCAGAAAATATATGAGGAGAGACCGATACTTAATTATTTTGCGGTGCTTACACTTTGTTGGAAATTCTCGAGATTTGGAAAGTGACAGGCTATACAAAGTTCGGCCATTGCTCAACTTTTTCAACAATAAAATGGAATCGGTTTATTCCCCAGGCAAGAACCTTTCAATAGGTGAATCGATGCTTTTATTGCGCGGCCGACAGTACATAAAAAATAAAAAACACAATTACGACATTGAATTTTATTTGTTTACTGGGGTACTTGATGATTTAGGTGGTAAAAGACATGCTGTTAATGTGGTCCTGCATCTTATGAGAAATTAATGGAATAAGGAATACAGCCTATACATGGATAATTATTATAATTCTGTAACCCTTGCCAGACAACTGTTAGAGAAAAATACGTACTGCACGGTTACTTTGCGGGCGGGAAGAAAAGAAACTCCAGAAGATGTAAGTAAGGCGAAACTAAAGCCTGCAGAATGCGTTCATCGATATGGAGGAAGTGTGTGTGTAGGTAAATGGAAGGATAAACGGGAGGTACTACGGAGCATGAAAATACAATGGAAGAAGCTTTGTCTAGATTTGGCACCAATAAAATTAAATCAGCCCCAATCATGCGATACAACAAATATATGTCGGGTATAGACTTACAAGATCAATTGCAGTCCTACTATCCTTCCCATCGTAAAACCATACGATGATGGTACAAAAAAGTAGGAATTCATATTATAGAGACCATGTTATATAATTCCAATATGTTATACGAAAAATATTCTAAACCAAAGATGTCGTTCCTAGAGTACCGTGAATCAGTAGTTCATGCAATGGTACCAGGAATTAAAGCCAAAGAGAAGCCAGGTCCATCCACAGAAAACCCAGGATTTCAACATGGTCCATTCAAACTATACAAAGGCACAGGTGATAGAAGACTGCGCAAAAAATGTCGGTGTTCAAAACGTGGAGTTCGTAAAGATACAAGCTTTTGTTGTAAGAGTTGCCCGGAACTACCCGGACTGTGTTTAGATCCTTGCTTTAAGGAATATCATAATAATCTGTAAAATCAGATACATATTTTGAATAATGTATTTGTTAATAAGTTTTATGAAATATGTACCTAGAGTGGACCCCCGATAATCCGGCCCCTGTCTAATCCGGCGCCCCCTGTCATCCGACATGTCTTTGAATATGTTTTACATATGTATTTGACAATCTTCGCTAATGTAGATCACGCAGGTTTGAACAGGTTACAACTTGTACGCGCCACCGCTATCGTGCTTGACGCGTACGCATTGTTTTACTTAGTTTGAATTTGACTACTTGTGATAGCGGTACGGCCTAGCGTGCGTTCATTGTTTACTATTTATTCATTGTGTATTAAGTATAGTACCTAGTAATGTCATCACAAACTCAGAAGCGAAAGCACAAAACATTGACAATTAAAGAAAAATGTGATATTATAGACCGCTTAAATCGCAACGAAACTTTCAGTAGTTTAGCAAGTGAATACGGCGAAGGCCGATCTACAATTTGTGACATTAAAAGAAACCACGAGAAGATCAAGAAGTTCGTGTCAACTACTGCCTGCGGGCCAGGCAAGAGACAGACACTCAATGAAGCTGAACATCCAGAAGTGGAAGAAGCTTTGTCCATGTGGTTTCTTCAGGAAAGAAATAGGCATGGACCAATTTCAGGACCCATGTTGGCCATGAAAGCTAAGTTTTTTTATAAGGAAATAACAAAAAAAGATGATTTTGTGGCCAGCAAAGGATGGCTAGAACGTTTTAAAAGTCGTCATGGCATACGTTTAATTACTATTACAGGAGAGAAACTTTCTAACGATGCCACCTGCATAGAGCCCTTTAAATTGAGATTTTTGCAAAAGCGAACGATTTAAATCTTGACCCGTCACAGGTGTTCAATGCACACGAATCAGGGCTTTTTTGGCGTGTGATGCCTAACAAAACTTTCGTTTCTTGTAACGAAAAATTCGAGCCTGGACGAAAATTAAGTAAAGAGCGTGTAACCATACTACCATGTGCTAACGCTGCGGGCACACACGCGCTTAAGATGATGGTCATTGGGAAATCTAATAAATCACGAGCATTCAAAAACATTGATTTACCTGTACACTATTACGGACAAAAAAGTGCATGGATGACAAAAGACCTTTTCAAAAAGTGGTTTGATGAATGCTTCGTACCTGAAGTTAGAAAATGGTTAAAAGATCAAAATTTTCCTCAAAAAGCGTTGTTGCTTCTTGATAACGCTCCCGGTTATCCGTCTGAAGAAGAACTAACAACTGAGGATAAATGCATCACTGCGATGATTCTTCCGCCAAATTGCACTGCACTGATTCAACCAATGGACCAGAATATCATTCAGTTTGTCAAGCAAGACTATAAGAAAAACCTACTTCTGAGAGCCGTATCAAAAGACCAACCAATAGAAAAAACTTCAAAAGAATTTAATATGAAAGACTTGGCTTTTGCTCTTTGTCGGTCATGGAATGCGTTACCGTCATCAACTATTAAATCGTCTTGGAAGAAGTTATGGCCAGATATAGTCACCACTCCTAGCAACGTTCCACAAATCAGTGTTACTTTGGAAGTTATAGAACAATTCGCTACTGAAACACAGATAAGTCCGGAAGATTTGGAAATCTGGTGCCGTGGAATGGATAAAGAGGAAAATGTTTTTCATGAAATGTTTGACAAAGAGATTATAAAAGAGGTTTCTAATTTTACAACAAACAATGAGGAATATAACGACGACGTGATTGCAACTGCTCCACAAGTCACAGCACAAGACGCAATTAACGCCTTTGAGCTAGGTTTACAATGGGCTGAAGAGAATGGTACATCCTACAACGAACTTTTACTTTTGAGAAGACTGAGGGACAATGCTCTGATCTCGCGTTACAACAAGCTCTTGAACAAAAAAAAATTGATGAATATTTCCAAGCTTCATAATTTGATAAATTCATTAATGATTTTGATTAATAATTCTTGATTATTGTGGTACATATGTATGTGCATTTATGCTTAATTTTATAATAAAACGTAAGCTCTCTATTGTTATTTAATTTACTAAATTCGACATACATAAACTATGTATGATTTGTACTTCAAAGTACATACATATAGTACATAGCATATATAACCTTACCATTGGATATGTAATTTGTCGGCTTACAAGGAACTCTTCTGTAAAAAATTCCGGACTATAGGGGGTCTTAGGCAGTGCTCTATAATCCGACAAATTCGATAGTCCGACACTGCCCTGCATAATGTTTGTCGAATTACCGGAGGTCCACTGTATTTAGTTTTCAAACATGTTTTTTTATTATTCTAGTTGAACAATGCACCTATATTTTTTTTATTACGTTTATAAATTGTAAGTTTTGTAGTTGCATACGGATAATGTTTAATTTGTTGTTTCTTTTTGTGACAATGTTATAATAATATCATTAAAACTTGATAAAAAGATTTGATAAACAGTCCTTAGCGACGCCAAATGATGATTTAGTATTTAAAGCTTTACGTTCTCAGGTACAAATGATACTATCATGCATGACCTTACAACCTTCAAAATTAGTTATGACTTTGCAATAGAGTGTGAAACACACAACTCTTCTTGCCGTTGTTAAACAATCTAGTAATATTGAAGACACATATAGAAGACTAGAAACAAAACTAGGAGAAGCTTCCCCTTATGATGTCTGTTTTTACTGTATATTCAATCCACGTGATCCTGATTTGGAGCTATCTAAATATCCCGATCTTGCATACTGTGCTATTCTCTATCACCAAGCTTTAGTCACCATCTTGGCAAAATTACAGGATTGGATCAATAGCAACAACCTGCAGTGTTCCAACTCTAGTAAGTAGAACTCGCTATCCATTGTCTCAAGGCCAGACATCAACTTCTCTTCCAATGGAGGTTCTGGGGCATATTGGCAAGAGGAAAAATATATGAACCTGGAACTCAACCACCCCAGGGGAAATTTGTTGCAATATCCTCAACATAGTATAATCACCATGTATCTATTATATTCATTTAGAAAAAAAAAACAAGGAGGAGACTACCACGCCGATATGAGTGCCAATTTAAATGGATGGTTTGAAAATATTATAAGCCGTCTAGAATAGAATGCTGTCATTGTTATGGACAATGCTTCATACCATAGTAGGTGTATTGATAAAGCACCAAACAGTGTAAACAGAAAAGGGGAAATACAGGAATGGCTACGAAGGTATAATGTTCCCTTTGACGATATGGTCAAAGCAGAACTTTTAAATATGGTCAAGGGCAATAAAAGTGCTGACAAGTGTGTCATCGGACTATTTTACGCCTGTCTCCTTACCGCTGCGAGTTTAACACAATCAAGTTAATTTGGACGCAAATTAAAAACGAAGTTTCATGATCACAGATGCAAAGCAACTTTTTGACACTGCGGACAAAATGTAACTCCGGAAAATTGGAAAAAAGCAATCGAACATGTTGAGGAGGAAGAAAAAAATTGTGGACTACTGACCAATGTATGGAAAGAGTGATTGAATCAGTGATTATTAACTTAGGAAACGATTCAGAATCTTCAGATTATACTGATAGTGATAGCGATTAGTTAATAAATGTAATTTGTATATTTACTGGATAATATCCCTAAACATACTTGTAAAATTACCATGTTCATTTCGACGGCTCTATCCGGGTAGACTTCAAAGTAAGGTATCCCAACACTGTGTTAATCCTGACCGCTAATTTCGAAGGAGCCCTCTGTCCAAGATTTTGACGTTATCAGTTTTGGTTTGACTTGTGGATTGCCGAAATAAACGGTCAGGATTACACACGATTGGGATAATCCACTCTTTAAAGTCTATCCGGATAGAGCCGTCTAAATAAACGTGGTAATGAATGCAGGTAGATCCATTATTAGGTATTATATTAAAAAGATCCAGAATCCAATCTAAAAAAGAATTTAATTTTTGAGCCCTTTTCTTTATTTTTCCCATGTATTAAAATTATTTTTCTAATATAAAAAGTATGTAAAGTTAACGAATCATAAACTGGGGCACCATATTTAATATATCAATGTAATAAACCTTATAGCACCTTGAAAGTAATGAAAAGACAGAAGAAACAGTGAAAATAAATGGTACCTCAATTAATGTTAAAACCTACACGCCACTGGCATCGGTTTTGCAGGTAGTTGTGCGGTGTAAATCGCACTCGTTATAGTACAGAAGATGTACTCCTACCACTAAAGAATAGGATCGAGTTTCCCTGGATCAGCACTTTGCCTTATCCAGTCTTATTTTATTGTATTCACAGTTAGTTAGTCTGTTGTTAGCGCTCATACTATATACATCAATAGAATTGTATTTTGATAATCGAAAATAAATCTTTTCTTTTTATAAAGCAAGTAGACTGACTCGGTCAGATAATTTGCTGCCCTGTCACTTGTTTTAAAATGTGGTATCGACTAATTCATCGCAAGTGCGCGCCCAAAAAATTGTAAATGCATTTTTCACCGATCATGATTTTTCAATCGTCCAACCGAAAATCGCATGTGCGCGCCTGGCGTTAGAAGCTAGTCCTTTCCTAAGAATTGCTATAAAAGAGATTACCTATATAAAGGTTTTATAACATATTTAATTCATAATATTAGTGATTAGAATGTTTAAAAAAAACACCAACTTGTATATAAGTATTTGTAAAATCTTTTGTGGGAGTTTGAGATTGCATGTTTTGATACTTATGCTATAATAAATAGTAAAAATGTATAAAAATATAAAATATATATAAAACCTAATGGTACTTATCACACGTGACTAAATGGTTTTGGACTAATGGTGGTACAAAAATGATCTGAGACTAAAAGCTTGATCGAATACACAGTCTTATAAATCGAAATGATAACCATTTATAATTATATGCAATTTATAAAAAAGGTCTTATTTATTTTATACTCGTACATATTTATTTCAACATGTTAGAGTTTTGGTAATTACAAATACATCATATGCAAACGTTAACTTCAATGTTAAGCCAACTATTCACGTGTAACAAATCTCAAAAAAAGGGTTTATGTATTTGTGTTTGCCAAAACTGATTATAGCTACACTTGACTCCAGTTTAAGTCACTCACTAACAGATCAGGCTACAGAGCCAGCCTTAAAGTAATTCGAGCAGTTTTTTCACAGATCAATACTTCCACGTAACAAACGCTATGCGTCACTGAGTGCACTCAAACTCGCTCAGCTACGCGCTGTCAGAATATTTAGGGTGCGCTAGCTTTTATGTCGGTATGTAAACATGCAATAACTTTGACGTTTACCAACCGTTTGATTTGGTTATACGTGTTTCTGAAACGTCAATTGACTACAATTTTAGTCATGAATCGCTTTACACCGAAACAACGCGCCGCAATAGTCACAATGTACATTGAAAATCGTCGTTCAGTTGTGTTAACGCAACGGGCATTCCGTCGTAAATATCGTGGCTAACAGGCACCGTCTGACAACACTATCCGTCGTTTGGTTTCGAATTTTGTTGAGTACGGTACCGTGGGAGATCGTCAAGGTATCGCTCATCAACGACCACAACGTTCCAATGAACTGGTTGAGGCGGTCAGAGAAAGCGCCCATAGCCCAAAAGTATCCTATCGCCACCGAAGGTCTTGATGATTATTGGGTTCAACCAGACGATGTGCCATGCCACACTGCAGAGCACACAATCCAGTTTCTGCAACAAAAATTCCCTGGACGTCTGATGTTAAAAAGAGGCGACAATGAGTGGCCACCCGGATCTCCAGATTTGACCCCTCTCGCATGGGTATCTTGAAAAGTGACATTATGCCGTTTTTTTTTTGACATTGTATTGGTTTTTTGTGACATGTAGGTGTTTCTATAAGATGTTAACTTAGCATTAGCTCATAGACACTTTGTGAACTCGTTTTGTAGTTGTACGTGTTGCCTAAACATCATTAGGCTTCAGTTATCTCAGCGGAATCTCCTGAGACTCCGCATTGCACACCAGCAGAGCTCCAAGGTCAATTTAAAGACCTCAAGGTGCGTAAAGCACCTGGAGAGGATCGAATCACTAATAAGGCGCTGAAGCTACTTTCGCGGAAGTCCTTAACTTATCTCGTGGCAATAATCAATGCCATGCTAAGGACGACCGCTGATGTCATAATGATTCCAAAGAAGGTGGGTTCGATATTCCCCCAGGATTACCGCCCCATTAGTCTACTGTCAGCTCCTTATAAACTCGCTGAAAAGCTGATTCTACGTCTACTTTGAAAATTTCTCGGCAGACCACAATGTAATTCCTGGCGTGCAATTTGGCTTTCGGTCTGAGCATAGTACGGAGCTACAGGCCATAAGGCTTGTTGAACGAGTAACCAGGTTCACCCGTAACGAAAGTACTGGCATATTGATTCTGGATGTCTCAAAGGCATTTGAAAAGGTGTGGCACAAGGGCCTTCTCTACAAATTAATCCATAAGGGCTTCCACTTCTGGCTCCTAAGACTTTTGAAATCCTTTCTCGAGGGTAGGAAATTTCGGATCAAAATTAATAACGTTCTTTCGACAACACGGCCCATCAAAGCCGGTGTCCCTCAGGGTTCGGTTCTTGGACCAGTCCTTTATTCACTTTTTATTCATGACGTCTCTTGCCCCAGCAGTTGTGAAATCTATTTCTATGCTGAGGACACTGCCCTGGTGACCCAATCGTGCTCTGGGGATCTAGTTCACGACAGGCTGCAAAGTGCAGTGGACGAGGTATTGGAATGGGCGAATGGGTGGCTGATCAAAATTAATCATTCGAAAACGCAGGCAATCTATTGTACTAAAAAACGTAGCGGCGTCCCGTCTGAGGTTTCAGTGAATGGAGCTCGGGTACCATGGGAAGGCTCTGCTAAGTATCTCGGTGTCACTCTTGACAAGGGGATACCCTGGCAGAAGCACACTGAACCGTTAAAAACTAAATTCCAAATCTCGTTTCGGCAACTCTACCCTATGCTATGTAGAACATCAAAATTAAGTTCGCTCAACAAAGTTCGGCTATACAAGATGGTTATTAGACCAGCGATCACTTACGCAAGTGCGGCTTGGTGTTTTCTCGCCAAAACGCATTTGCGTAGCCTGCAGGTTTTGCAGAACAGAACCTTGCGTACAATCACTAACGCACCATGGTATGTTTCCAACGAGACCCTTCACAAGACCTTGACATCCCTTACCTAAGGGACTACATCAAACAACAAGCGCAGCCACACACCAAATATCCTGATTTTATACACAGGCAGACCAATACACATAATCATCCAGATGCGATCTTGCTATTCAACCAACTTTATTCTTATAGATTACACGGCTTTGCAAAGAATATGCATTCAACAATGCGTGTAGTTAAGCTATTCGTTCATAGATGGACGCTCACAACGATCCTAGTGAGCAAATGTGGAATGACTGTTTGCACCTTTAAAGCTTCCTAGTCTGCAAAATGACATTTATAGTTCTTTTTGACGTTTTCTAGGTTTTTTACATAAAATCCGTGCGGACTTCTTTTAGAGGGTTATTTAAAAAGCCGAGTATACGCCAGCAAGCCTAAGAGCATCGAAGAACTAACCCAAATATTTGCACCACATTCACCGCTATATCACTCGAGATGCTCGAAAAAGTATTGGCCAATATTGTATTCGAAAACTAGTCCCAATAAATTGTGAATTCAATACAGAAATTAGATTTTTTTTTGCAAAGTTATGCAATGCTTACACGACATAAAAGATGGCGCACCCTGTATCTGCTCGTCTCTGACAAGCGTGAGTTGCACGGCTGGATAGAGATGAACGGATGTATTCTGTCAGCGCGTACAAAAATCAATATCTTTAATAGCCCCTTCGTATTTATTCCCCTATAAACATATGCAATGAGTTGTTTTTTTTTCATTTTTCTAGATTCAATACAGCGCTTTCATTCTATGTGCCTCGCCAAAATGGCTGCGGTGTGTGAAATATTATTAGTTTGATACCTTTGCTTCTAGAAAAAAAAAACAAACGTGAAAATCACGGTATTACCCCTAAGTAGATATGTTAAAATGCTTTGGTATTAAAAATAGATCCTTTAAAGTTTGAATCCCAATACTGTAAATGGTAGCGCAACAATATCCAAACTAGATGATTATAATGTTATTGAAATTTTACAATTTCTGTTAGCTCCAATCACACCAACCTTGAACTCATATTACCTCTATTAATTATAGCATCATTTTTTAATAAACGAGACATATCCCCAAACTTTTTGAAGGAATATATCATTGTCTCTAAAAAATGTTTTTAGATAGCACCACCATGTTAAAGTAAAGTAATTTAGCACCAGGTGTTAAGAATGACAATTCGAAGAGAATTTTCGAAAAAAGTACGCCAATTTTGGCCCGACAAACAAGGTGTAAATCGCTTTAATAAACTTATCTCAAAAAGCTTTATCAGCCGGAAATTTCTTAGAATTTAAAAAGAAAATAGAACCTCACCATAGAGCACTGACACGAAATAGTAGGAATCTAGATATACCCCTGCGTTTCTGAAGGACAGGAAAAACTACACACAACAACTACACAACAATTAAAGGAACGACTGAAGATACGGCCCTTGATGTCTGAAAAGCCCTAAAATGACATTCAATACTTAAAAACTCAGTAAAAAAATACAATTTTTTGCTATACAAGACCCGGAAGTGAATTTTGAGATTGAATTATTTTAAAGCGATTTTTAACTTCGTTAATTAGGCCAAAATAAGCGATCTTTTTTTTGCAGACCGTACTTAGCTACCCTGCAGAGAGCTAAGATCACCTTCCATAAAGAATATTATAAAAATGCAGATGGAAAATAGCACGGTACTTCGGTCTTACCATTGATGGATGTATAAATAACTAAATATAAATATTGAAATCGTTTTTAGAATAATCATGTGTCTAGTAATTATTCGAGAGAAAATAAATAGAGCAAAGATCCCAGAGCTGCCAGACCTAACTTATTTTTTAAACAAAATGTGGGGCATTGTATGTATGTACTTCCAATGCCTCCACACTTCCTAAGTTAGGTAGATGGCCAAATTGCGTCAAAAACAATTAAAAAAAGACTTCACTCAAACTCTGATTGCTGATGAACGTTTAGAAAAAATGTTTCATACAAAAGTTATAATCCAATATAATTTTTTTCATTTTTTGTATACAGGGTTATCCAAATTAAGTGTCCACCATTAGTAACTTTGTTATTAGTGAAAATACAAAGTTGTTTGAATTAGCAAACTAGTAGCATTTTTAACGCTGGTAAAAATGAGAAATAAAAAAAAACAATTGAGAGTCGTTATTTTGATTTTTTTTCAGTAAAATAACATTTTTTTAAATGGAAACCCCTGTATATTATATTTTTTTCTGTTAAAGCATCAAATTTTAAACAAAAAAGTTCATAATGACTTTTCCGCTAAAGTCAAAAATAAAGTCAAAATAACGATAAATATTTTTAATTATTTGCAGTATTATAATATTAAGACGGCTATGAAAACAACATGGCGTTCGCGATTTGACAGCATTAAGATAAGAGACAAATTGTTAAACTGGACATACTCGCAACTAGAAGGCTTTGGAAAACAATGATAAAATCAAATAATGTCAAACATTAGTGTAAATACTTGTTTATAAGCTTTATTGTGTCATTAATTTAAAGAAAAATGTTCTCCCATGAAGAAAAGTGTGATATGTTAGAATGCTATTTAGTGTGCAGAAAATCCTCCTTGAGAGCAAGAGAATACTACAGTGAATTATATCCCGCTCGCATTCAACCGTATGAACGATATTTTCTGAGACTTTATCGAAAATTTAGGGGCAACGAAAATGTTTTTGCTAAAACAAGGGCAAAAAAAGAATTCATAATAAGCGAGGCCACGGAAATTGCAGTTATTGGATATTTTGAAGCTTATCGTGAGAATTCAATAGCAGATATTCTCAAGGACTCTAATTTCAGTTATGGTACTGTTCAAAGGATTTTAAAAAAATACAAATTTATTCCGTATAAGTACCGACCAGTTCAAACGCTTTTGGCAGGGGATCCAGAGAGAAGACTTGTTTTTTGCCATTGGTATCTTAGCTTCTGTCGCCAAAATGTAAATAACTTTCGTTACCTTTTATGGACAGATGAATCAAATTTTTCAAATTCTGGAATGTTTAATAGAAAAAACCACCATTATTGGTCAAGAGAAAATCTTTTGTTAGTACATCCAAGAGGCCCACAAGTCCGTTTCAGTTTCAACGTTTGGTGCGGTATAATTGGTTCAAAAATTGTTGGCCCGTTCTTTTATGAGGGAACCCTAACTGGTGAAAGATATGTGGAATTTATGTCAGAAATTCTGACTAATTTCTTAGACGAATTGGATCTTATAAGTAGACATCATCTGCATTTTCAGCAAGATGGCGCACCTGCCCACAACTCCAGAGGTACTTATCATTTTCTAAGTACTACTTTTAATGATCAGTGGATAGGAACAAATGGCCCAATACAGTGGCCTCCCAGATCACCAGATCTAAACCCACTTGATCACTTCTTGTGTGGTTACTTAAAGAACCAAATTTACAAGCGAAGGTACGATAACCTTGACGCGTTAAAGACTGCAGTTAGGGAAAATATAACCCAGATAGATGGTAGGTCCATACTTAAGACAGTTCGAGCAGTTGAAAAACGTGCCCAAAAATGTATTGAAGAACAAGGTGATGTTTTCGAGCATCTTCTTTAAAAAAAATTGTTATTGTATTTTGTAAGATTATAAGTTGATGTTGAAAATGAAGTTTGTCGATACAATTTAATTGTTTCAGATTGGAGGCCATAACTTCAACAATTTGTAACCTAGGAGAAAAGTTATTGTAAGCTTTTTTGTTTAAAATTTGATGCTTTAACAGAAAAAAATATAATATACAGGGGTTTCCATTTAAAAAAATGTTATTTTACTGAAAAAAATCAAAATAACGACTCTCAATTGTTTTTTTTTATTTCTATATTTTTACCAGCGTTAAAAATGCTACTAGTTTGCTAATTCAAACAACTTTGTATTTTCACTAATAACAAAGTTACTAATGGTGGACACTTAATTTGGATAACCCTGTATAAGATGTCAATGCTATCGAATAGTGTACTGTCTAAAAAAATAACTTCATCCAATAGGACAAAATACAAAATAGTATACAAAAAAACCATAGCATGAAAAGCTATAATTTTTGTATGAAACTTTTTCTAAACTGTCAAACGAACATGTGCAAGAGATATAAATTTATACCTGGACAGTGGCAGTGCTGAAAAAATATATTATAAAAACCAGCCATCAGAATTTTCTCATCTGATACCACGTTTTAGAAAATAAGTAATGTGTGAAAGCGCGTCCAAACAGAAATGCCGTGCCATTGTTCGAATGATCCTCACTTTTTTAGTCACCGTTTATCCTACTTATTCCTAACAGCAGAACTTCCGGGTCCTTGTGTAGAACTGACATTTTCTTGCAATTCCTTGCCTGTCGTTTCTATCGGTAATATCAGGCAGCCTACTGCAGCTAATATCGCTGCTACGGCATATATGCTTGTCGAGAAACTTATTGAAGTCTTCAGCAAGACCTTCAAAAAAAAGTTGGTGCTTTATACAGGGCGATTCATAAGTCGTGACCAAAAATGAAACATCATACACAGGACGGCTTGTTGAAATTTGAAAATAAAAAACATTTTTTTTTAATATTTTCAAAAGCGTCAACTGCAATGAGGATTCACCCAAATATTGTCCACATTCAGAAGTCTTTACTTAAAATTAACGTGCACGTGTACAAATAGTTACTCTTTTGTTTTTTCCTTGAGTGCATTGTTTTTGTAAAAATAAAAAAAAAACAACAAATTATACTAAGTGACATATAAATCCGAACACCCAGTTTAAATGGTTTTATTTTAATAAGATTTTGTATAAGTACTTAATGAAGCATAATAAGTAAAGGATAAAAATTTCAAAATGATTGCACTGCTTTAAAGCCCTTTGACCTTTAATAATGTGTGGATGCACCTTGATGTGCTACGCATTCTCCAACGCGCCTAGGCATGCTTCTGATCAGGTGGTCAATGTCCCCCTGTGGTATCTCATTCCAGGCAACCACCAACTCCTCTCGAAGTGCTTCTAGAGTCTGAGGAGGACGTTGCAAATTGAGCAATCTCCTACCCATCATATCCCACACGTGCTCAATTGGGGATAAGTCGGGAGATCTTGGTGGCCATGGTAACAATGTGACATCATTATGTTGAAAGAAGTCTATTGTGACTCTTGCAACATGTGGTCGGGCATTATCTTGTTGGAAAGTTGGATCTGCCAGGGTGGATATAACGCTGCGCGTTCATGTTACCTCTGATGAAGATTAAAGATGACCTGAAACCATAAGCTTTAGCACCCCAAACCATAACTCCAACAGTGTGATGAACATGTCTTTCAACAAAAAACTGTGGACTCCTCCTTTTACCACGTCGCCTTCTAACCCTGGCACGACCATCGTGCATGCCTAAACAAAATCGAGACTCGTCACTAAAGACAATACTGTTCCATTCCTGATCCCAGAGTGACCGTTGTCTGCACCACTCAAAGCGATTACGTCTGTATTCTCCAGTTAAAGGGAGGACCCAGTGTGGCCGGTATGAAAACATGCCAAAACTTCTCATTCGTCGGTAAACACTTCGCATGCCAATAGGTCTTCCGTGTTCTGCAAACCATTCATTTGCAATGGACCTGGTAGTGGAGAAACGGTCCCTTAAGGCCAATAATCTTAGGCGGCGATCTTCACGGTCTGTTGTTCTACGGCGGCGTCCAGTGCCCCTTGCTCTTTGCGTACGGCGTTCTCGAAGCCATGCCTGACAACACCTAACTACAGTGTCTACACTTCCTTGCACTCTAACTGCAATTGCCCGAAAAGAAAGTCCAGCTTCCCGAAGTCCCACTATACGGCCCCTATCAAACTCACTAAGTTGACGAAATCGTACAGGTCTCCGTACTCTAGGCATCGTAACCGATCGTAAAGGATGTCAAGAACCAAAATCCGCCAACGTTGATTGTTTACTGCGGCTGAAATATTCATTTTTAGAGCGTTAGTGAATTAAAAAAAAGCAGTATAAAAACCGGAATGTCCAACTGATAAGGCTGAAAATTTTTTCACTTGTTACAGAGGAAACTAATAATCATTTCCTCTCAAATTTTACATTCGACGATCACTCCAATAATGTAGTTAATAATACAGCCAATTTTTACTCCAACAACCGTTTTGATAATAATTTGACTCCTTTCGCTCTTCATACAGTAACACAAGAAATCGTTCTTGACATCATTTTATCGATTAAATCGACTGCCACTGGGAGTGATGGATTGAATTTAATAATGATACGACTTTGTTTGCCTGAAACACTTGACCACATAACTCACATAGTAAATATGTGTTTAGAGAAGGGCTTTTTCCCAACAAGCTGGAAAGAAGCTGTCATCACACCTATTGCTAAAATCACAAACCCAGCTGAATACCATGATCTTAGACCGATCAGCATTTTATGTTTTCTTTCTAAGATATTAGAAAAGATCGTCTATCTACAGCTTATTGAGTACCTTGAACTTAATCATATGTTTCCGATACATCAGTCTGGATTCCGCAAGAATCATAGTACTACAACTGCTTTGTTATACATAATTGATAACATAATCAGAAATTTGGATGATCGCATTGGTACAATATTGGTTATGCTTGATTTATCTAAAGCGTTTGATTCTGTGAACCACCGTATACTTTTGAGTAAGTTGAAGTACCTTGGTTTAGGTAATACTGCTCTTATGTTCTTTGACTCTTACTTGTCTAATCGAACGCAAAAGGTGAAAACCAGTAAAGGTGTATCTGTGCCCAAGTATGTTCCTTCTGGAGTTCCACAGGGCTCGATCTTGGGACCTCTACTTTATTTGGTTTTTACGTTTGACTTGCATAACAGTGTTGAGCATTGCGCAATCCAAACTTATGCAGACGATACACAGTTAACATTTAATTTCGACTCTAGCAACTTCAATGAAATTTCTTATAAACTTAATGTCGACTTAGCTAATATTGATAATTTCTGCAAACGGCACTCACTGAAAATAAACCCTAGTAAATCGAATGCTATTGTCTTTAGTCCACATAATTTTCCAGTTAGTGTTGTTGATCTAATCCAACTGTCTGTGAATCATACTGTCATACCCTTAGTTAACGAAGCAAAAAACCTGGGCGTTATTTTGGATAAAGACCTCCGTTTTAATCAGCACGTGAATGCCACCCTTAAATCCACATATATATCGTTAAAATTATTATATTCAAACCGGCACATTCTTAATTTCAAAACGCGGAAAAAACTTGTTGAGAGTCTTGTTATGTCTAAAATATTTTATTCGCTGGTTCTTTATTATCCTTGTATTGATTATAACACTAAATATAGACTGCAGAAAATCCAAAACAGTTGTTGTCGGTTCGTATATGGCCTCAGAAGGTATGATCACGTATCGTCTAAGATAAAAGAGCTAAAATGGCTAAAACTTGATAAACACTATACTTTCTCTTTGGGTGTATTTGTCCATAAATTGATTTCCACAAGGTCACCCATTTATCTTATGGACAAACTTGTACCTCGTGGTCAAGTCATTTCTAGAGCCCTACGACATAACCATCTCTTCGGTATGCCATTCCAGAGAACATGTATATTCCGAAGATGTTTTACGTACAATGCTATCAGGACTTACAACTCTGTCAACCAGGTACTCAAGTCCAAAAGCTTACCTGTTTTTAAAACTAAATACAAATCTGCTCTTTTGGAATTGCCTTTTTAAAAATCCCTGATGATTAGCCGACTGATTTTGTAGCTTTTGTAAATTTTCCATGCTTTATACATTCTGTAATTGTTCATTGTTTTCTTTTTATTTTTCTGTACTGTACTATTGTCCTTATTATTATCATTATTTTTTCACTTCGTTTTTAAGGTTAAGTGGTAGAGTAGCCATGTGGCTAAACTTCGCCTCAATTCGAAGGTTTCAATAAAGACATTTATTATTATTATTATTATTTACAGTAAGATAAATACATTCACCAACTTTTATTAAAATAAAACCATTTAAACTGGGTGTTCGGATTTATATGTCACTTAGTATAGATAATCAAACTTTATTTCAATAAATGTTCAAAAAGACCAGCATTCTGACGTATACAAGTGCGGCACCTTTTTAATAAAGAAAAACGTATTTCCGCAAGATTTGTTGTGGTTTGAATTTGATGAAACGCATTATCTATTCTTTTTTGTAACAGATTAACAGTATTAATTTGTTCAGCATACACTAGTTGCCGTTGAAAATGCCGCACCACACGTTTCTAGAAAATATGTGTTGAAATGAGTGGATTTTTACAAAATGGGGATTTTCTAACGCCCAAATATGTTCATTATGAGAATTAAAGGTTCCACTCATAGTAAAAAGCGATTCACCTGACCCCAAAACCAAATCAATAAAATCTGCATTTGGATTATGCATTCCACTCACAAAAATTTCGCCGTTGGATATCGTCGCCGGGTTGCAGACATCGCACATTTTGCCGATGGTAAAGATGTAAAACTTCCCGATTTAAAATTATTCACGCAGGACTTTTGGGAACATGGAAATGCCGGACACCATGGCCTCTAACTCCGAGAAGTGTGGCAATTCCATATTGTCAGTCTTAGAGATGAACGCGTAAAAACCTTTGGGGTAGGTTGACGTCTTTTGATACTTCCGAGAAGCCGTTAGAGCATTTCCATTACAGAACTCACAAAAATAATATCGGCGTACTCATCATTGCTAAATTCCATTTACAAAAAAAAAAATGGTAGTAGTAACGATAACAACCGAATAACACATAACCTTGACAAACTGTCTCCCAAGAAACGTCAAGTTGGTATCAAGGCGTCCTATTTTATTTTGAAACTAAATTGTATTGCGACTCTTCATGAATGATCTAATTTGTTTAATTTTTATTTTTACGAAAACAGTGCGCTCTAGGAAAAAGCACAAGAGTAATTATTTGTCGCAAATTGAAGGTAAAATTGGAAAAATTGCGAAAAAGAGGCGTACTATTTTTATCTGGAAAAATAATGTCACTAATCCCCTCTATCTCCGTCACTGGTGCACGTTAATTTTAAGTAAAGACTTTTAAATGTGTACAATACTTAGGTAAATCCACATACCAAATTTTAGTTCATTCCAGTTTACGGTTATGATGATACTGAAAAAAATTGTTTTTTATTTTTAAACTTCAAAACCCCGTATCTTTTTAATGAAGCCTTCGAGGAAAAAATGTTACATAGAAAACCCCTCCTTAAAATGCGGCCCTGGGTATGATATTTCATTTTTGGTTACGACTTGTGAATCACCCTGTATCATGTCAAAGTCATGTCAAGGCTGATGATTCAATTCTAACATGAAAATTAACCAAGAACCATTCGGATTCAGCCAGTAGCAAATCACAAAGCGGTTGTGGAACCACGAGAACTCACCGCACATATTTAAAAAGATTGTGCATGAACAAGGTTTTAAAATTTTGTGTTGAGTTCTGGAAGTTAACTAAACTTTGCAACATGGATAATTTTATCCATGTTGCAAAGCAACAGTCGACCAGTTATTATGAAATATAGCATCATGTTCCGTCCTCGTCGACGTAAATATTTAGAATACATATCGTAGTACCCTCGTAGTAGTATCCAACCGCCACGATTTCAAAGCGCGCACGCAGAGAAGGAAAGCGCCACCGCGCCCCTTCCCCCTACCCTTCTCCCCTTTGGCCACCAATAAACCTTCATTCCTTGTTCTCGTGCCCGACCATCAAGACGTTAATCGACGCGCCTCGTTTACCTGCTGCTTTAGAATTAGAAAACAGGATAGAAGGTAGATGTGCTTTGCGAACGAGATACCGACCGGCGGTCGCCTGAAGGTTCCTTTCGTCGCCGACCAAAATTAGTGCAAGTTAAATGAATATTAGTATGGATGCCTCACCGGCGCTACAAATTGTGCCTGGCATGACGTTTGGGATAACGTTCTGACACTGTTGCTTGGGATAGCAACCTGGACCTAGTTTGTGATAGCCAACTTCATACCTAGGACGAACAAAGACGTTTGGGATAACGCTGAAACATTGGACTCGATTGCTTGGGATAGCAACGTGGACCTGGCTTAAGATAGTCAGCTCCACACCAAGGACGAACGAAGACGTTTGGGATAACGTTGTAACATTGGACTCGGTTGCTTGGGATAGCAACATGGACCTAGCTTGTGATTGTCCACACCAAGGACGAATGAAGATGTTTGAAAAAATGACCCAATACTGAACTTCGTTGCACAAATAACAACACTGAAATCGTTTGGGACAACCTAGCAACAAGGTATAGTCAACAATCTTTTCTCATTTGCTTGTGATAGCATATTTCATCTCGTTTGTGATAACCATGGAACAGGACCGTAAGTTTGAACATGGAAGGTTAAAATATCTGTCCAAAGTATTTATTTGTCACTGTACAGTAACTTTATCATGGTGCCTCGGCTCCCAGATGGATGAAGTCGGTTTTAGCAGAGAGTGTCACAATTGACAACCCACAGTACATGAAATGCGTCTTCCTCTCCGCCTGCTTTGCTCAAGCGGGAGTTGAGGTGAACCAAGTCTTCACACCTTAAACATAACTGATATTACGTTATTTGCTCATTACCATGAAAAGCCTTAACTTGAATTTGTTTAGTGGTGTACAACATATCGTTTAATATTGCAGACCGTTAGTAGTATGTTGTTGCAACTAGCTTTGAACATCTACGATACATATTCTAAATATTTACTTCGATGAAGACGGAACATAATTACATGATCAAACGAACCTACCTGTAAGTGATGTTCGATCTTAGTTATGTGAAGTCCTCGTCGAAGTAAATAGCTCCCCCCTCCTATGTGTAACCCAATTGTTGCAACAACTTGGCTTTGAAGTAAATGTAGGTTTATAGGCGGCCAGAGGGGAGAAAGGTTTGAAATCGTGGCGGTTGGATACTATGAGGGTACTACAATATGTATTCTAAATATTTACTTCGACGAGAACTTCACATAATTAAGATCGAACATCACTTACAGGTAAGTTCGTTTGATCATGTAAATATACCTACGTAAATACAAATATCAGATTTATTGAGACATGCGGCTGGAATACCTAACTGTTGCTCCAGGAAATCGTAGAGCATTAGTTACCTGAGCTACATACGGTGTAACCATAGCACCAAGACGAGCCATAGCACTGCAAGAACCAACTCCAACTGCCCTAAGAGACGTTGGATACACTTCGGGTGTGTAGACGTAAGCTGCTTGAAATACGCCCGCTATTATACCTCTTGCAAAAAATAGCATTATGGTTAAAAATGCGCGCCTGCAATACAAAATCCAAACTTAATTTCCGATAAGTTCAAGTTCAACAGAAACACACTACTAAGAGCGCCAATATTTTTCATTAACAAAAATGACGTCCTTGAATCGTGTAACTTTAATTACAGAAAAAAATTGACGTCAAGTAAGTTGACTTTGTACTTGCCACTCAATCAGTTCGTAAAGGATTATGTTCCGCACTTCTGAGAGAAAAGTTAATTACGAACATGTACAGAGAAATTCCAGAAAAATTAGTTTATAAAAATAAAAATTCAAGGCAGTTCCATATATAATTTTCTTTAGCCTTTTAGGTTAGGAACAAGATATCGAGATCCGGTCTTTGCGAGCTTGTTTAGAGATCATTTAGTTACTTTTTCATAAAAAAAGTCATACCAATGTATTTAATTTTCTTGAGAAAATTAACCATTTCTGCAGGAATGTCGAAAAAATTTTTAAGCAAGGAGGACTCTTTATACTTTTTTTATTCTCTCTAGCTTTCAATGGACTTTGCCATCATACTACTCTTCTGATGTAGTCTTTGGTTACGAAACTCCAGTAGAAACAGAGCAAGACTTAACTGGACGAATTACAGCAGCATTTGAAATCATTCAAATCGAGGATCAAATTTTTAGTCAAGTGCCGAAATCATGTGCGTTTCGGTGTATTCAGGTTGGAGGAAGACCTTTTGAACAATTCTGGTGATGATATCATGTACAAAAGGCAAAAATTAAATGCATTAAATCCTATTTAGGCAATGACACTTTTCCGGAGATGGGCCCTATACACAAATATTTTCTACTGTTACACTGAATAACGCCTAGAAGTTTGATCCCTTAGTTCTGAGACACACTGTATATCCTATACTTACTTTTCAGTGCAGACAACCAAAAAGCAACAACAAACAGCAAAAGCAATGAACTCCACTGCCATGGTTTTCTTTCTTCCAAATTTTTCAATAATTGCTATGGTGAAAAATATTCCTGAAAAAGATGTATTACAAATACAAACGATCGGTGACCCTGTACTTAAAATTCCAGTGGACAATGAAAAAATTAATAAGCTCAAAACATAACTACTTGTCAGAGTTTTATCGCCAGATATTGAAAGAAAATCCACGATTAAATTTTTAAAAGTATTGAACGCTTACGATTGTTTTACCTGGGAATTCAGCTAAGGTGGTCCACAATAAATCCATATAGTCAGTAGTCTGTAACTGTTTACAGTCTGCCGCACAGGTGTCCACGTTTTGAAGAATTATCGGATTTTTCGAGCAGACAACAGATGATGTCTCAAATAATTCTGTAGTCATAAGCACCAGGCCATAGTAGCAAAAGGCACAAGCCATCCTACAAACAGTTCATTATGATAACTATTAGTCAAGTATTGCATCCCAATACAGGGTGTGTCCAGTGGGAAAGTTTCAAATTTGAATTGCGCGGCAACCGTATACGCGAGGAAGTGGGGAGAGGTCTTGATCGACGCGTTCGGCGTGCGGGTTAAATAGTCACAATGGAACGTCGGACCGAAGCGCAACGTGCTGTTGCTATCGAGGCTTACTTTAAGAGTGGTGATTCATACGCAGCCGTTTTGTACATGTTACAACATTCGCCGACCAAGTGAGAACCTATTGAAAAAGTGGATTAAGAGGTTCTGTGGAACAGGCTCTACTTTTAGTCAACCCATTCCTGGCCCCATACCTTCGGTATCCAACGAAGAAAATATGCGTTGAGTGAGTGATTCGGTCATCGCAAATCCTCGGAAGCATTCCGCTGCTTTGGGAATCCCTAGGTCAACACTGCATGGCATAATGAAGAAAAAAATGGGTTTTAATCCAATCAGTCCATGCTTTAAAGGACAGTGATTAATTATTGCGGAAATCTTGTGCTGAACGGATGCTGAATCTTTTCCCTACGCAGCGCAGACTCGAGAACCTTGTTTCCAGTGACGAGGCCCATTTTCACCTAGACGGTTAAGTGAACAAGCAAAATTGCAGATATTGGGCATCAACGAGCCCAAAAGAGAAACATCAACAACAGCTACATGGTCCAAAGGTGACTGTTTGGTGCGCCATATCCTCTAGCGGTATTATTGGGCCGTATTTCTTTGAAGATAAAAACGGTCATGCATTGGCAGTCAATACATAATTGACACACTTTGTTGCTCCTATTGTAAGAACAGAACCTCGATTCAACAGAAACACACGGCTTCAACAGGATGGGACCGCTGCCCATACTTCCAAAGAATCGATGGACACGGTGAAAGCCCTTTTACCTCAACAAGTTATATCGAAGTTTGGAGACATTCACTGGCCTCCTAGGTCACCCGACCTGACGCCATGCGATTATTTTTTGTAGGGTCATCTAAAGTCAGAAGTGTATTCCAATAAACCACGAACACTGGATGAGCTTAAAAACAACACTCGACGAGAAATAAACATCATTCCGCAAGAGAGTGTTTCAGAATTTGCCCGCGCGATTAGAAGCGTGTGTCCGAAGGGTAGATTAACATTTGGACGGTATGACATTTAAGAAATAAAAACCACCGAATTTACGAATATGTTGATAGTAATAAATATTTTCTTTTCATTTAAGTTTGTATTTTTTTTCTTAAATCAGAAAGTGAACCTTCCTACTGGTATAAGGTTTTTTTGGCTACTTTGGTTGAAGACAACGAGATATTGATTGATGTGTATATAGCTTTCAGATGTAGCATTTACATAATGGCTCATATGCATCTATCTTTGAAATATAGATTGTTGAAAAGTGTAAATGCAAAAACATGAATACCTAAATTATTGAGAAACGAAAAAAAAAATAACCCAAATACGATTTCCATACAACATCCCGAGAAACGTGAGATTACAAGCTTTGATAAAATTAATGAGATAAAATGTATGTGAGTATGGTTTTACATCTGCTGTTTTTTTTAATGTTGCAATTGCCTTCTCACATACATAGTGTATTTTCGACTATCTTACCATATAAACCACAAAAGCAATGATGTTCTTCTTAAGGATGGTACTAATAGGTCCTTGAATCTCCCTCGATGTGGTGGTGCTGAAATAGCATCATCAACGACAAGTCTTCCAAGTAACATCGGCTTCCCATTGTCTTTTGCTATTTTCTCCAATGTTTCCAACGCCTTTTCTGTCTGTCCACTTGCCACGTGATATCTCGCTGATTCTGGTAACCACTGAAAACAATATACAGTGAAATTCCCCTTTACGGACACCTCCTTTAAACGGACTGTTTCTCATGGTCCTGAGCGACTCTCATATAAAATGCATTGTGTGAACTCTCTCTTGGACGGAAATTCTCGTCAACGGACGCGGACACGAGAAAATGTTCTTCTAACCGGACAAAAAAAAATATAAAGCCTTGTCTATTTATTGTAGACAGGGCTCCAAATAGAAAAAAATTGACGCTTGAACAAAAAATTGAAATTGTTGAAGTTCACAATAAGGAAAATCTGAGTGAAAAGGACTTATTCAAGCGTTTTATTATAGGAAAAACACAAGCTGCAGATATAATTAAACATAAAGAAATCCTTCTAAAGAAAAAAAGCTTTTTGACTGATGATACCAAAATTGACAAATTGTGGTATGACTGGTTTATACCGACTCGTCATAAGGGGATTCCTTTGCCAGGTATAAACGCATATTATTGTTTTAGGTAATGTTTTTTGTACTCGTATTAATGCGTCGATTTTCATTACACATCAATTCTAAAATAGATGAAAGGAGATTATCAACTGATTTGTCGTGACAAAAACGCAAAAAACTAATTTTTTTTTAGCTCCGCTAATACGATGCAAAGCAAAAGAAATAGCCGATTCTCTGGGACATTCTAAATTCAGTGCTTCTTCTGGTTGGCTCGATAGATTCAGAATTCGCCGCAATATAAGTTTTAATGCGATTTCGGGAGAAGGAGCTTCGATTAATGCTGAAGATGTTTCATCGTTTTTGGGAAAAAATTATTCTTTGATGAAGGGACATTCACCGAGAGACAACTATAATGCCAATGAGACAGGCTTGATTTTAGGGCGATATCCGACAAAACGCTCACACTAAAGAAGAACAAATATGTGTTGGAGGTAAGTATCCCAAAGACAGGTTTACAATTTTGCACTGTGTAAATACACACAGAGCGTTCAAAAACATTAACATAAATGACCTGCCTGTAACTCCGAAATTCAACAAGCTTGGATGACAAGACAAACTATGAGAAAGTGGTTGCAAGACCTAGATTGGAAAATGACTAAAGAAAAAAGAAATATTTTATTATTTTTAGACAATGCAGGGTCTCATCCAAAAGACATTAGATTAAATAATATAAAAATTTATTTGACAAAACCGCTTCTGACCAAGTAACCAAAGAAACTGTGCAAAATTGCTACTGCAAAGCAGGATTTAAGCATGACAATATGTAAAGTGAAGACCAGTTAAATGAGGCAGATACACTTGCCCCAGAAGATGACTTACCACTTAATATACTTTCAGATATCCTCAAGCATTTATTGAAAATGAAAACATTTATGATTTTTTGAAGCTAGATGAAGATCGAGATTCAGGCCAAGAAATTGAAAATCCAGCTGAAATACAAGTACTTTCTGAAGATTCTGACGTCGGTGAGGTTCCGGTACCAACAGAAGCTATTCCAAATTATGGCAAAGCTATTACCCTGACCAAGCAGCTCAAAAGTTTTTCGAAAATCAGGGAAATACAGAGCCTTTAGAGCTCCTTTCTAAATTAGAAATTCGATTTTAAGACGCCATTTTCACGAAAAGGAGGAGACAAACGACATATATGTATTTATATGCATATCATATAATATATATATATATATATATATATATATATATATATATATATATATATATATATATATATGTATGTACATACTTTGTGTACATATATCTAAAGGTAACAAACGTATTTTGTTTATATAAAAACATTTATATACATATACGTTTTAAATGTCCCAGTTTCTTGAATATATCCAATTTTCATTAAAAACACGATTTTTGTTGTATACTAAGTGACATATAAATCCAAACACCCAGTTTAAATGGTTTTATTTTAATAAAAGTTGGTGAATGTATTTATCTTACTGTAAATAACAAGTGAAAAAATTTTCAGCCTTATCAGTTGGACATTCCGGTTTTTTATACTGCTTTTTTTTAATTCACTAACGCTCTAAAAATGAATATTTCAGCCGCAGTAAAGAATCAACGTGGGCGAATTTTGGTTCTTGACATCCTTTACGATCGGTTACGATGCCTAGGGTACGGAGACCTGTACGATTTCGTCAACTTAGTGAGTTAGATAGCGGCCGTATAGTGGGACTTCGGGAAGCTGGACTTTCTTTTCGAGCAATTGCAGTTAGAGTGCAAAGAAGTGTAGACACTGTGGTTAGGTGTTGTCAGGCATGGCTTCGAGAAGGCCGTACGCAAAGAGCAAGGGGCACTGGACGCCGCCGTAGAACAACAGACCGTGAAGATCGCCACCTAAGATTATTGGCCTTAAGGGACCGTTTCTCCACTACCAGGTCCATTGCAAATGAATGGTTTGCAGAACACGGAAGACCTATTGGCATGCGAAGTGTTTACCGACGAATGAGAAGTTTTGGCTTGTTTTCATACCGGCCACACTGGGTCCTCCCTTTAACTCGAGAACACCGACGAAATCGCCTTGAGTGGTGCAGACAACGGTCACTCTGGGATCAGGAATGGAACAGTATTGTCTTTAGTGACGAGTCTCGATTTTGTTTAGGCATGCACGATGGTCGTGCCAGGGTTAGAAGACGACGTGGTGAAAGGAGGAATCCACAGTTTTTTTGTTGAAAGACATGTTCATCACACTGTTGGAGTTATGGTTTGGAGTGCTATAGCTTATGGTTCCAGGTCACCCTTTAATCTTCATCAGAGGTAACATGAACGCGCAGCGTTATATCCACGAAGTTCTAGAAACCCATCTTTTACCCTATGTTGACACCCTGGCAGGTCCAACTTTCCAACAAGATAATGCCCGACCACATGTTGCCAGAGTCACAATAGACTTCTTTCAACATAATGATGTCACATTGTTACCATGGCCACCAAGATCTCCCGACTTATCCCCAATTGAGCACGTGTGAGATATGATGGGTAGGAGATTGCTCAATTTGCAACGTCCTCCTCAGATTCTAGAAGCACTTCGAGAGGAGTTGGTGGTTGCCTGGAATGAGATACCACAGGAGGACATTGACCACCTGATCAGAAGCATGCCTAGGCGCGTTGGAGAATGCGTAGCACATCAGGGTGCATCCACACATTATTAAAGGTCAAAGGGCTTTAAAGCAGTGCAATCTTTTTGAAATTTTTATCATTTACTTATTATGCTTCATTAAGTACTTATACAAAATTTTATTAAAACAAAACCATTTAAACTGGGTGTTCGGATTTATATGTCACTTAGTATATTTTTTTTATTCAGACATTCATCTTGAACAGACACTTTCGATCGGTCCCATTTAGTAATTGGTGTCCGTCCAAAGGAGATTTCACTATTTAACTAGTTTAATAATAAAATATTCGAATTAGTCTCAGCGCAATCGATATTTAATTTTTCAGATCAGATCTACAATATATAAATAAATATATTGGAAGAATCAACCTAAAACAATATAGGGTATACTTACAGGGCATATGAGAGCAAATGCAAGCAACGGTCCAGTGGAAAGTGCCAACAACCAGTGCCATCCTAATGTGGGCATCACAACCAGTGCTAAGGCTACTTCAAAACATGCTCCAAGTGCCCAAAAACACTACACAAAAGATAATACAAAGTTTTACAAAAAGCACCCAGTTGACACATTCAGAATGTTTTTAATAAGTTGACTTAAACCAGAGTTTTATATCTACTTAAATGAGCTATACACTGTTCAATGGCTTGATGATTTACTGAAATTTGTTAAAAAACTATAAATAGATAGATTCTTTAAAATTTAACTTAACATATCAATCATTGAGCATGTGCAATTCAATTATTCCAATGGACTATCAAAATATATAATATATATGCAATATATCTCAATCCACCTGAGTTCACTTATTTGAAAAAGAATGCTTCTACTTACATCCAACAAGACAACACATTTAGCTCTTTGTTTGGTGGGTAAAAATTCGGCGTACAATGTCACACTAAAAATAAAATATATACAGATGCAAATAAAACAAACCACTGTGAAGTTAAAAACTACACCAAGCCAGGTCTCTATTTTTCATACATTAGGTGTTTTGACTGTCATGGCCATATTTGATGCTTTGTACTCGTATATCCCAGTATTTAAATCCAACTACTGGAAGTGGTCATACTGGCAGAGAGCTTTCTGAATCTGGCTCAGTTACTGTTCTGACCTTGGGTACATCAACTGCGTTTCAGACTATGCTACAGCAATACAAAAAAAGGCAAAGAACATTCATTCATTTCCTTGGTGTTGTTTGTTGTTTAAATAATAAAAAATACAAAACAAACTCTAGCTAGTTGCAGTATGTAATAAAGATAACTTACGACTGAGGGGTGCACCCTATAGCAAACCCAACCAAGCCTCTCAGTAGCAAAATCCACATGAAGCTAGGAGCTACTGAACTTAGTAGCCCATAGTAGAATAATAGCATAGCGCATAATGTCAACGCCTGAAAAAAATAAGATAACTTCCAATCTCTATTTTGCATATACAAGGTCCGCCACAAAGGACGGATGTTTTTGAAACGGCTAGTGCTCTCCGCCTATTCGAGCGAGAGTGCCGTCCGACTCGGGCGTTCCTAGCATTTTTACCAGTAGACCTTATGGAGCAGTGGACAGTGGACAGTTGAGCACCGCATTTTCGCGTCAGACAAATGAGTCTATCACTGCTGTGAGTTTCGTCGCCACTTCAATATTCATCGGAATCGTGCTGTTCCTTCTCGAAACGCCATCCTTCATTCGGTTCAATCTCGGTGGTTCAATCACTTCGCACGCGTGGTATACTGATCAACAAACGACCACCAGGAACTTTGTAATCAGACTCGATTTGCTCGGCAACATACGGCTAAACTTCGCCTCAGCGATTGTTCGTTAAGGCGTATTTTGCAGATGGTACTCCGCTTTCAACCCTACAAATTGGCCATTGTGCAACAGTTACAGCCTGTAGATTACGCACAACGAATGAACTTCGCACGTGAGATGGAAGCACTTACCGAGAACCTCATTTTGTTCATGAGTGATGAAGCTCATTTTCATCTTAATGGCATGGTTAACCAGCAGAATTGCCGTTATTGGGCTAATGAAAATCCGCGACAGTTACATGATGATGATGATGATCTTTATTTCATAGCAATGTGCTAACAGAGAAAACATTTGGATATAAACTTATAAACTACAATTTTCTATAACATATTTTTTTAAATGCCTTTTGAAGTTAACAAAATTTGTAGTTTTAATTTCTTCTGGAATACTATTAAAATCTACAAGGTCCTTATAAAATAAGCTGTTTTGGGCAAAGGAAGATTGTACCCGAGACACATAAAAGTTGGAATTAGATCTAACATTATAACTATGTATATCGCTGATCATTTTTAATTTATTAATAATATGCTCTGGGTACATTCTATTCCTTATTTTGTATACTACTACCATAGTGACATGAAAGACCGTTGCACACCCCAAAAAAACGGTCACCACATTACTGATGTGATTTTCCACTCTTAATTGTGACAAACGCTATTTCATTGTGAACCCGAATCCGTCAATAAATTTGATTTTCAGTAAAAATTACCGACTTTGACATTTTTTAAAAACCGTCCGACCTTTGTGCTGGACTCTGTACAACAATCATACTCCGTGTTGAACTGCAATGTTAGTACAATACTAAAGGGTTGTCCAATAGGGACGCAGGAAAGTAAACGTCATTTTGACATAGACGCCATCATTTGTTTTCTGTCACCGACATGTCATTTTGTTAGTTGAATGTTTACCATTGATCGCTATGGAGTCGTATTCGATTGAAGACCGCATTAAAGTTATTCAAGAGCACTACAAAAATGGTGCAAAAATAAAAAACACGTTTCGCGCGCTTCGTGAACATTTCGGTCGCAACAACCGCCCAAACGAAACAACCTTCGGTCGTCTGGTGCGTAAATTCGAGGCAACAGGTTCTGTGGCAAATCGCCAGGCTCTGGCCGGCCAAGGAGCGTTCGCACACCGGAAAATATTGCTGTTGTGAAGGAGAGTGTGAGAGACGATCCGAAACAATCGACAACGCGTCGATCCCAAGAATTGGGCATTTCGAGAACCAGTTTGCTCCGCATTCTCCACAAGGATTTGAATGTACACGCCTACAAGATCCAATTGACGCAAGAGCTGCGTCGGGCCGACCATTTTTCGCGTCGAACGTTCTCAGATTGGCTCCTTGAACACCGCCAAATTGATGCCAATTTTTCATCAAAAATCATGTTCGGCGACGAAGCGCATTTCACTTTGAATGGGACGGTAAACAAGCAAAACTGCCGCATCTGGGCGAACGAAAATCCCCGTGAGTATCAAGAGCAGCCGATGCATCCTCAAAAAGTGACTGTGTGGTGTGCATTGTGGTCAAAAGGCATCATCGGACTTTACTTTTTCGAAAATGCGACCGGGGCGCCGTTACCGTCAATTCTGAGCGATATCACGTGATGATAGAGGACTATTTTTTGCTGCAACTTGAAGGAATGGATATGGACGATGTTTATTTCCAACAAGACGGTGCAACATGCCACACAACCAACGTCAATATCCATCGATTGCAGTCCTGCTTCGGTGATCGCGTGATTTCGCGCAGAGGAAATGTGCCATGGCCACCAAGATCGTGCGATTTGACTCCCTTGGACTTCTTTTTATGGGGATATTTGAAAAGCAAAGTCTACGTCAACAAACCAGCCACCCTCCAAGAACTCAAAAACATCATTGCCGAGATAAATGCCATAGAACCGACCTTGTTGCAAAATGTCATGGAAAATTTCGACCATCGCGGACGTCTGTAAATCCAGTCGTGGTGAACATTTGAGCGCTATTATTTTTCATACATAAATGGTATAAATGAACCTTCAAAATAAAGTACCCAACTTGATTTGAATATCAATCTTTCTTGTTTTAATATGCGTTTACTTTCCTGCGTCCGTTTTGGACAACCCCATATACTCAAAAACAATTTGGATATTCTATTTAAACATTGCGTCAATTATGGTTTCAAGCAGTAAATAGTTGTTCTTAGTTTTAAACAAAACACATTTAACATGTCCCCAAGAACAACTTACATGTTTTCTTCCATATCTATCACTGAGGTTGCCCCAGAAAGTTGATGATAACATCATTCCAAGAAAGACGATTGTAGTTGTCAATGCTTGTTGATATCTGAAACATTATCATCATATTATGTTATGATTCACATGTGGTGATGACCTTCATTCTTTAGTTGGCTTCTGTTACATTCTAACATCTGTTGATACACACTTCTTGAGCTTCTTTCTCGTACACAAACTCAAAAATGTATTTTTCCAAAATTATTATACTATCGTTATGATGTTAACAGTACAAAGGCTTAAATCTGAATGACTGTAAAATGTGTTAAGAACGATAAAGTAAACTCTAGGTCTTCTAGGAAATTAGTGGCATGGTCAGCATTATTCCTAGCGTATCAGTAGGAAAGGCTAATATAACTCATTAAACTCAGATTGTCAGACAAATTCGGTTCTCAGTGTATATAATTTACTACATATTCATCATGCTCCTTATACTAGTAATGTTTTGGTAGTGGTGTTAGCATTACAGCACAAAATCTATTATATTTAATAACAATAATTGCTTGTTATGGCTTTATCCTAATGTGAAGTTGAGTAGTGCCTATTTAAGGGGTAACACCAATGTAAATGTCTCCTACTATTATTGTCTTAAAATTATTTAAACCTTTTAGCTATGGAGAAAATATTTCATACTTGGAAGTATTTTTTTCTTGCAATTTGGAAAGTGTCAGACTGTTCAGAAACCTTTTGATTTCTATTAATTCAAATTTTGTACTTATTGTGTTAATCGTTTAATACACTTTGTTTACGGCATTACAGTGGTGTTGCCCCTCAATGTAATATAAGCACGAACCATTTAAAATAAAGAATGATCATCAATTATATTTAATCACAATGAGTTAGTTAATTTCAGTACACGTTATTGAATATTATCCTTTAGATCAAATCAACATACGGCCCGTGAACTCCTTTCTTGCAGCCCGCTTCATGGGTCATGTATACATTACATGTATAAATTACTCTCAAATACCGAATATGCACAATTCTTACATTAACTCTTTAATAATGTTGTATAGAAAGATTTTATAATGCGGTCCTCCAAACTGCATTTTTTTTGAAGCGGCCCTTGGGCCACATTAAGTTGGACAGCCCTGCTTTAGATAATGGGAATATAGGGAATAAAAATATGATGATGTAATGAGTAACTACTAACCTAGATATATGCCAATCACAGTGTAATGCAGGTGATAAAATGGAAAGTATTGTCATTTCCATTGAATCTGCCATCCAACAGAGGCCTGTTGATAGAGAAAGCTTCACTTGAAACCAGCCAAAGCCTAATGCATTCACTGCTTGGGTTACTGTGAAAGTATCTAAAAACAGTATTGTATCAGTTAAATTCAAATTATAATCAGTGCATTTTAATATATTTTTTTATATTGAAGCACCTGCCTAGGTAGAAGCCTAAATACCACAGCACCATGGTTGCTCTGAGGAGCTAAAAAAATTTCGATAACCAGATTTTTGAACTGCCTAAGGTTAGTAGAAATGGGAAAAGCCTCCTCAGGTAGATTGTTCCACGATATCAACACCCTAGCGACCAATGAGCCAGGCAGTTCTGGATGTTCAAAATTCAACATGCATACAATGGAAGGCCAAAGTGAGGTGGGGTCTAAGCTTTGAGGAGCAAAGCCTGTTGAGATAATGGTAGAAGAGAGCAGGATCGCCGAAGTCCGTTAGCCTTAAACAAATTGCCTAACTTTTTCCCAGTAGCTGATGCTATAATGAGATGTGTGATTTCCATCTAACACACGCAATGTCTTGGAGAAAACATAATAAGACTCACCATCGGGTACTACTGATACAGATGCCATTTCTATTTCTTGAGGCATAACAGTATTATTTTCATCTAGTTCAACACCATTATGTGGTGTGAGTGAGCCTGGATTTTCATCTATGTCTTGATATCCTTTGGTTCTTTTCAGAACCATTTTGAGCAATGAATTCCGAACCAATACAATGAATAAAAACAGAAGATTTAAAATATCTTAAAATAAATTATAGCAAACAAACCAAGGAATAAACAGTTGTGTCTGTCAATGTCAGCGGTTAACGTCATTAGCATCACCGGTGTCAGCTGTCAGCGGAGCGAAGTATTTGAAATGACTTTAGCGACGAGGAGGAAAAAAGGCGGGGCTTAATAATTAGATGTCCCGCGTGAACTATCGTATCGTTTGTTGATTGGCCGATTTGTCAGAAATATGATTTGCCTCTGTTCACCTAATCTACTGCCATAGTGGTGGTTTCCCAGAGATTCTTACCGTTTTTTTGCTCTTAGATGTAATTTTGAAGGATTGAGGTTTGAGTTGTGGATCGGTGTTTACATGTCTACAAAAGCAAACATTATCAACTTTTGCATTTCAATAATTCCACAACTTACAAAACTTTCATACTTGCATTACAAATCTTAGGATAAATACAGGGTATATCCTCCGTGTCAATTAATTTTGTTAAATAGAACCCCAACGCATACGAGCTTTCTGGCTACATTGAATGTTTATTTGAACGTCTTTCGTCCTGTGTTTTGTTCGGTGGGTGTTGATTAGTTACAAGGTATGTTTTTCTACCATTTTGCAAAACGGCATTATCATAAGTTGAATTTTTTAGGATGTCCGGTATAGCGGGAACCCGTCTAGCTGAGGAACGTAAAGCTTGGAGAAAGGAGCATCCCTTTGTAAGTACCTGACCTGGTTTAATTGAACGCATATGTACCTAAGACAAGGATGAATGTATACATACTCATACACTGAAAACAAAAAATAATTGACGTCATAATGTGTACGAGAGGGAAGCATGTAATACGTGTGCTAGAAAGAGATAGAAGCATCTCGTTGCCTAGCAACCTGAGTAGGATGTCATGGATGCCATCAGCGCACTCTTTCTAACATACATAATGCACGTTTCTCTCTCATACACATTAGGATGTCAGCCACATTTGAACCTCACAAGACCAAGCATGAGGCTCCGCCCGCGTGGAAGTAGTGTAAAGTATGGTATTTTGCTTTAATGTAAAGAAGATTGATTTTGGAGAAAGAAATGCAATAGTCAAAGCAATACAATATTTACTTTGCCAGTGAATATTTGTTGTTTGTTTAGTGCAACACTAAATTAAATAAATTCATTGTTTCGCTTCGTTATATTCGACAAAAACTAAGGAGGTTACTTGATCTTAAAATTATCTTGAAGGTCATGGTCAAGGACATACTTGAATTAATTGGCCACAATTTGCATTTCTGTAATGAAGCAGAGATATTTCTGATTAAATATCAATTTGATCATCAAATGACCTTGGTGGTTATAGTCAAGGTCATGAACATAAAGTTCCTTGCTCTCTTTTTACTTCCAGTATAAAAAATAGGAGGTTTCATTTGAGATAACTTTTATCAGGTACACTTTATGTGAGCATTTATGTTTTGAGTCCAAGCAGAAGTTTGGTTTATGTACATCAATTATTGGGACCAATTCCCAGGATGCATCTGAAGAGCTGAAGGGGGGGAGGGGTAGTTTTGCGTCCCATGTTGAAAGTGGGGCACTCTTGTATCCCCAGCTTTCTGTCGGGGACACCAGTGAGGAGAGACCCAAAAAGCAGGCAATCCAGTTCAAAGTGAACCAGGACGTATGGTCATGTCAGGTATATATACTAAGTGACATATAAATCCGAACACCCAGTGTAAATGGTTTTATTTTAATAAAAGTTGGTGAATGTATTTATGTTACTGTAAATAATAAGTGAAAAAATTTTCAGCCTTATCAGTTGGACATTCCGGTTTTTATACTGCTTTTTTTTAATTCACTAACGCTCTAAAAACGAATATTTCAGCCGCAGTAAAGAATCAACGTTGGCGGATTTTGGTTCTTGACATCCTTTACGATCGGTTATGATGCCTAGAGTACGGAGACCTGTACGATTTCGTCAACTTAGTGGGGGGCCGTATAGTGGGACTTCGAGAAGCTGGACTTTCTTTTCGGGCAATTGCAGTTAGAGTGCAAAGAAGTGTAGACACTGTGGTTAGGTGTTGTCAGGCATGGCTTCGAGAAGGCCGTACGCAAAGAGCAAGGGGCACTGGACGCCGCCGTAGAACAACAGACCGTGAAGATCGCCGCCTAAGATTATTGGCCATAAGGGACCGTTTCTCCACTACCAGGTCCATTGCAAATGAATGGTTTGCAGAACACGGAAGACCTATTGGCATGCGAAGTGTTTACCGACGAATGAGAAGTTTTGGTTTTCATACCGGCCACACTGGGTCCTCCCTTTAACTCGAGAACACCGACGTAATCGCCTTGAGTGGTGCAGACAACGGTCACTCTGGGATCAGGAATGGAACAGTATTGTCTTTAGTGACGAGTCTCGATTTTGTTTAGGCATGCACGATGGTCGGGCCAGGGTTAGAAGGCGACGTGCTGAAGGGAGGAATCCACAGTTTTTTGTTGAAAGACATGTTCATCACACTGTTGGAGTTATGGTTTGGGGTGCTATAGCTTATGGTTCCAGGTCACCTTTAATCTTCATCAGAGGTAACATGAACGCGCAGCGTTATATCCACGAACTTCTAGAACCCTATCTTTTACCCTATCTTGACACCCTGGCAGATCCAACTTTCCAGCAAGATAATGCCCGACCACATGTTGCAAGAGTCACAATAGACTTCTTTCAACATAATGATGTCACATTGTTACCATGGCTACCAAGATTATTATATATATATATCCCCAATTGAGCACGTGTGGGATATGATGGGTAGGAGATTGCTCAATTTGCAACGTCCTCCTCAGATTCTAGAAGCACTTCGAGAGGAGTTGGTGGTTGCCTGGAATGAGATACCACAGGATGACATTGACCACCTGATCAGAAGCATGCCTAGTCGCGTTGGAGAATGCGTAGCTGTGCAATCATTTTGAAATTTTTATCATTTACTTATTATGCTTCATTAAGTACTTATACAAAATTTTATTAAAATAAAACCATTTAAACTGGGTATTCGGATTTATATGTCACTTAGTATATATTCTTTCTAAAGCACTGTGTCCAGCTTTGATCCTTTAATCAGACTCCATAGCCTTGACTCAGGGCCTTACATGTAGCTTTCCACTGTTGGACCTGTGGTTCCTATCTGAAACTGTAGCCTTGCCAGGTCTCCAAAGTAACTCAGGAGATGCACTGAGGTTTCCTCATGCTCTTTGCAGAACCGCATGTGGCCTCTCCTGTCAGGAGGCCCAGTATGGCCCTTATGGCCATATTGAATCAGAGTAAGTCCTCCGTAAATGCGGGCATTCGTTCTTCTTTGAACTCTTTGCCTGCCTGTGGCCCAATTGGTTGTTCCGCCATTCTAGGGACTTTATGTTGGTCCAATTTCTTAAGGACTGTTTACCATAGAAAGGCTCTATACCTATAAGGTGATTGGCCGCATTCTGTCGAGGTAGCTTTTCCGCCTTTTCGATTCATTTTCTTTGTGCCCTTCATGTCCTGGTACCCAGAGCAATGCTTTGGTTTCACAGCTCTTTGAGAGTGTTCGCACAAGCTCATTAATGCCTTTATGGCTGTTTGAGCAGATGGCGGTCGACTGATTTGCAGTCTCATTCCTTATTAGCTCTTTCGCGCAGGCTTTTAGCTTCAGCCTGAAAATTGTTGCAATATTACCTAGACTGTACTTCGTTTTCAGTTTTCTAACCGTCTGTGTACCAGTAGGATGGCATGTAACTTTCAATAATAGATTTTACTCTGTGTGACATTTGGATTTTTTTTCAGCATATTTTTTACTGCTTATAACTAAAGGGTGTTTTTTTTAGAGGTACAGAACTTTAAATTGCAATAAAACAACGATGTATTATTCGATTGACATGATTTTTTTTTAATCGAAAGATAATCTTGTGGCATTACATTTTAAATATGATTTCTGTCATATGACGTAGTCCAATCTGGACGTAAAATTTTCGATGAATTTTACCAACATTTGTGGCCGTATATAGGCAATAACATGGCGAATGTTGTCTTCCAAATGTGTGGCTTATCCGCCTAGACCAATGAATTTACATAGCCCCAGAGAAAATAGTCTAGCGGTGTTAAATCACAAGCTCTTGGAGGTCAATTCACAGGTCCAAAACGTGAAATTAGGCGGTCACCAAACGCGTCTTTCAATAAATCGATTGTAGCACGAGCTGTGTGACATGTTGCGCCGTCTTGTTGGAACCACAGCTCCTGGACATCATGATTGTTCAATTCAAGAATGAAGAAGTTAGTAATCATGGCTCTATACCGATCACGTTCTGGCCATCATCGTTTTTGAAGAAGTACGGACCAATGATTCCACCAGCCCATAAAGCGCAACAAACAATCAGTTTTTCTGGATGTAACGGTGTTTCGACATAGACTTGAGCATTAGCTTCACTCCAAATGCGGCAGTTTTGTTTGTTGACGTAGCCATTCAACCAGAAGTGCGCTTCATCGCTAAACAAAATTCCCTTATGAAAATCGGCAACAACGGCAATCTCGTTTTGGGCCCATTCAACGAATCTACGCCTTGCTTGATGATCGTTGGCTTCAATTCTTGCACGAGTTGGATTTTGTAAGCACGCAAATCAAGATCCTTCCGCAAAATCTTCCATAAAGTGGATGGACACATCCAATTCCTGTGCTCGATGGCGGATGGACTCATTCGGGTCAACCTCAATACTACGCTCTACAGTAGCAATAGCTTCTTCTGTACGCACCGTACGGCGTCTCTGGGGATGTGAGTTATCATTTAGAGTAAACGTGGTGCGAAAACGTTCCATGGTTAATCTAATTAACTGCTCTGATGGACGGTTTTGTCTACGATAAAATGGACGTAGTGCGCGATACGTATTTCGAAATAAAACTGCACAATTTGCAAGCCCTGTTCAGGCGTGAGTCTATTCATGATGAATTGCCAAACCAAACTGAGAATAAATCACTTGACAGCTGTCAAATCGGTCGCCATTTTCAAAAGTAATGCCAACTTAAAGTTCTATACCTCGAAAAAAAAAACACCCGTTATTATGAGCTATGGCTGCTTTATGCCTAGAGTTACAAAACTACTTATTTCAGGGATTTGTAGCACGTCCGTCCAAAAATCCTGACGGGTCCCTAAACCTAATGAATTGGGAATGCAGCATTCCTGGGAAAAAGGGGGTAAGACCAGTTTCCTATACTTTCTCATCTATTTTTCAGATGCTTTATTTTTTGACTGAATAACTATGAATGTCAGTAAATGATGATCTACAACAGAATCATTTCTGGTGATGAATAACATTTTCCATCATTTGCAGTTATATACGTACATATCTCAGCTAGTCGCAGCCTTTGGAATTAATGATTTATTTCATGTAATGGTTATGATTCATTATTTTATATTATTGCTATCAATTGTAATGGTACGAATTTTGCATAGACTCCATGGGAAGGTGGCTATTACAAACTACGTATGATCTTCAAAGAAGATTACCCAAGCAGCCCGCCAAAATGCAAATTTGAGCCACCACTGTTTCATCCCAATGTTTACCCATCAGGAACTGTATGTCTTTCACTGTTAGATGAGGAGAAGGATTGGAGACCTGCTATCACTATAAAGCAGATTTTATTGGGGATTCAAGACTTGCTCAACGAGCCTAATGTCAAGGACCCAGCACAGGCGGAGGCATACACTATATACTGGTAAGGCTGTTAGACAGTATTACAGATGGATTTTGTATGTTTATCATAGAATATAAGACGGCTGCCTCAAAAATGAGATTCCTACATTTTATTGACCGTCTCAGCTTTTTTAAAAGCCTCGGCAGTTTCAATCGCTTGTTCCCGGATCGTTATGCGCCGATCTTCTAGCAAGATTTGCTCAATCTTTGCCATAACTTTCTTGAAGATCGACGGCCACCCGCTTCGTTGTTCATCGCGGATGTCCACCAAAGAACTCTCTTCACCATTTGAGGACATGTTGAATGCTTATACCCGTTTCCCATGTGCTTCACTCAACTGGCGACGAATTTCTATAGGTGGTCACGTTTTTGCGTGCAAACATCGGATGGACGCCTCGATTGCGCATGGCTGTCATGCCGGTACTGTGCGTCGCCAATAGGCGCTTCTTGTTGGGATCGGTCGTAGGGGAGGCGACAAACACGACGGTGTTGCCAGATATCGCCTATACTATAACTATCTAAAACTGTAATGACTCATCGATGTTCACGTGAACATCACTTAACTACCAGTAGTCGGCTGTTCATAGGCGGGGTATGAATCTTTAACATGGGTGAACTAGATTTGTCACATGCTTAATAAAGAGTGGTTTGAAACATATTGTAAGTCAAAAATTTGGGAATTACCTTTATTCATCGTCGCTTCCACTTATATCTGACAGTAATAAACTGTCGCTATCGCTTTCCTCGTTGAAATTGACTATAACTGGCTCTATGATGGTGTCGATGTGGTGGTCAAGCTGCCACATTTTTGTTTCTTCCTTCACAACATGACGGATAGCATTCTGCCAAGCTTCGGGCGTTACTAGCTGTATGGAAGTCTCAAGTAAAACCTTAACGTCTGATAATTTGAAGGTTGTGTTATGGCGCGCAATATAACCCTTCACTTGAGCCCAGATGAGATCTATTCTGTTCAGTTCACAGTGGTAGGGCGGTAACCGCAGCACAGTGACACCACATTGACGGGCTATCTCATCAGTCACGTAACTAATGTTCGCAGGTTTGTGCTGTTTAATTTTTTCATACAATTCCGCTTTCACACATGAATCGTCAAACGGGATTCCTTTTTAGCGCAACCATTGCTGCACGTCACTTTTTCGAGATCCCATAGTCGGTACACGTTCGGCTCGACGACTATGGTAGGAAGCATTGTCCATGACGATCACAGAGTTGGGCTCAACTCGCTGAAGCACCCCTTGAAACCAGCTCTCGAAGCAGCTGGCATTCATTTCGTCATGGTAATCACCTCCTTTCTTAGAGACGAAAATCAAGTCACACTCTTCTAAAAAGCCACTATCGCTACCAATATGAGTTACGATCAATCTTTGACCGTTCCCTGACGGTCCACGAAGACCTGTTGACAAACCTTCAATGCTTGCTTGTCGGTTACTCACTACGTTTTTGTCTATCCAGGTTTTTTTAACTGTGTGACCTGCATTTACCCATGTCTCGTCCAAATAATAGATTTTTCTGCTTTGTCGCCTATAACATATTCAATCATTTCGCGTAGGTATTTTCGACGCCAGGCGACTATTTCAGGTCTCTCTATCAATACTGACTTCCGATGACGCGTTTCGTAACGAAAATTAATTTCGTGCAGGGATTTCCTCATTACCTCGACGCTCATTTGGGGTATAATTTCATTTTCCTTGATCGTTGCATGTACAGCCTTGAGGGTTGGTATCTCATTCCTAAAGAAGAATGAATGTACGGCTCGCCTTAACGCCATTTTGCTATCGTCATCCAATTTAACGGCCTTTCGTCCCTTCAAATTAAACTTTGGATCAGTAGTAGCTCCAGTTTTCTTCTTTTCATGCACCACCCTGCGAATGGTCCACTCTGGAACGCCTGTCATACTTTCACAACGCGCGAGTGCATCTCTCTGCGACATAGTTCTGTTCAGATAATTGAACACGTTGAGCACGATTTCTTTCGCGTCCCTCTTCAGTGTTTTACGAAGCCGTCTACTTGTTCCCTGGCTTTCAGTACTTCCACTCGTGCCATTTGTACTCTCCATGGTTAAGTATAACCAAAACAGTAACCACAGAAACCACAACAATTCTTATAAAAACACACAATATGCGATCGCTCAACGAAACACGTTCCAATGCGTTGCCGACGCCTATGAGTCTGCCGGTCGAGGCGCGTCTTTGATTTCATTGGTTCTACCGGCGGAGAACAATCAGCCATTATTTCCATCTCTGTCTGTGCTGTTGACCACCGCAAAGCCACAGAAACGACATATGTCGTACGCTATGCGGCTGTACTGGAAGAAAACCGGGATCGAGCTCTGATCACGTGTTGATCACGCGTATGAGTCATTACAGTTTTAAATAGTTGTAGTATAGCATCACGCGTGGCAAAGGGAACCTTATTTTTGAGACAACCCTCGTGTAACGAAGAACCTTTTTAATAATGATATATTCATATTCTTACAGCCAAAATAGATTGGAGTATGAGAAGAGGGTACGCGCTCAAGCAAGAGCGATGTGTCATCAAGAGGCCTAGGAAATCATGAATTGCTGAGTGACATTTAATATCTAAATTATTTTAATTCAACATTAAATAGAAAATGACAATGTTGGAAGATGTTTTACATTTTTATAAACAATTAGTGACTATGCTAATTGGTTTTAACAGGATTTTATTTCCAGATAACCAATGCTATCAAAACAAAAGAAAAAAAAAAACGCGAACAAAAGTGACTGGTGGAGATACGTAAACCTAATGAATTTATTTAAATTATCAGGAAGAAGAAAGATTCGGGGTCTAAACTGCTCATTTGTTCATGCAAGTTTCATGTACAAAAAGTTCTTATCATTGCTGATATCTATTGCAGTCTTCATCTGAGAGTCATTCATCTTTCGTTGCAGACATTGACAATTAAAAATTGACGTGTGCTTGAGAACCTTAGACACTTAGATAACTTACAAAATGGATTATTTTGTGAGTATACAGTGATCATACACTTCGTTATTTTAATGACACCTTATACGCTTTTTAATTTTTGTTGAATTTTAAATTACTGTTACTTCATGTTTCGATAGTTTTGTATCCATATTCTCGGTTGATTCGATTTTTAAAAGTATTATTAGTTTATGAATAAAAACTATTCAGTTTTATATGACTATTATTTTTTTATTACCCGCCCTCATTGCTCACTAGATGTATATTCTGTAGTTCACAGCTTTTCCATTTAGCAGTACGCTGTTGGATCGCAGTTTTTCAATATTGCACTTGAACAATTTTGATGAAGTTCAAAAATGTGTTAGTGTGGAGGCGACACATCACCTAAGCCCAATTATCAGTTGAATAGTTCGCCAGTAGGGGCATCTAACTGCAAAGACGTGTTGCTTTGGAAAATATTTTTTACGATCGCAATTTTGCTTCAAGAATTTTCAAAAAAGTGCTGGTGTTACATTGGTATATCCTGTGTAATCAAGGTTTTTCATAGACCTATGAAACAGGTTCGAGATTTTTTTTCCCGAATGATGAGAAAATTGCCGATTTGAAAACCCAATGCATGTATAGTAAATATTTTTTTTGTGTTATTCCCAGATCCACTGCCAAATCATCGGAAAAACGCAAAAAATCGCATTCTACAAATCTTTCGTTTTGACACTTTTTGACTAAACAAAATTTGGTCAACCAAACACTCATTGTACATTCATACTTGTGTACGTTCTTTTCAGTTGCATAGTCAACATCATGATTTTCGCTCTGAAAGCCACAAAAACTCGGAAATACCGCTTTCTCACAGATTTACTTCAATTTTTGACAATTTTAGAGTAGGATCATAGCTCAGCAAACTCAAAAACTGAATCTATTATTGTACAGGGTGCGGCAGAGAGGACGGACGTTTTTGGGATGGGTATTACTCTCGGCCACCGTCTACGAGAGAGGTGGGGAGGGTGCCGTTTGACTCGTGAGATCCTAGGATTATTTTACCAGTTGTCGTTATGGAGCCTTGGACGGTTTCGCCTATGATTGTTTCGTCCGAAATAATGAGTCAGTCATCGTCGTACAGCGTGAGTTTCGTCGCCACTTCAACATTCATCGGAATTGAGCTGTTCCCTATCGAAACACCATCCTTCGTTGGGTTGAATCACTTCGCAGGCGTGGTGAACTGATCAACAGAAGACCAAGAGGAGCGCCGCGAACAGTTCGAACTCCTGAAAATGTTGAACGCGTTCGACAGGTCTTTCCTCGCAGTCCGACTCGATCTGCCCGGAAACATGCTGCTGTACTTCGCCTTAGTGATCGTTCGGTAAGGCGAATTTTGCATATGGATCTCCGCTTTCACCCCTACAAATTGGCCATTGTGCAACAGTTACAGCCCGGAGATTATGCACAACGAATGAACTTCGCACGTGAGACGGAAGCACTCATCATTGGCCTCCTCGGTCCCCAGATTTATCCATATACGATTTTTTCTTATCGGGACACCTCAAGGCTAGAATATACGCGAACATGTCCCGAACTCTGGACGAATTGAAGGGCGAAATTCGCCTGGAAGTCGCCCAAGTTGAGAGAGCGATGTTGGAGAGAGTCTACGCGAACTTCCAAGAACGCCTCCAGCACTGCATCAACGATTTCGGCCACCACATGCCTGATGTGATTTTCCACACTTGACTGTCTCAAATGCTATTTCCTTGTGAACCTGATTCCATCAATAAATTGGTTTTCGAGTAAAAATTAACTATTTTATGATTTTTTTAAAATCGTCCAGCCTCTCTGCCGCACCCTGTACATTCTTTTAGCTTCCAGTGTCGTAATCATGATTTCTTGCATCTTCTTTGCATCAAGAGCGATTAGGATGTACAGGGTGTTAATAAAGTATAAGTAACCATCGAATCGTTGGTCAATTTAAAGACTAAATGTTCATATGAACAAAAAAATACGAACAATGTTCCAAATATTTCTTTGAATAATGAAACCTATTTATTGAACAGTTGGTATAAACTATGATAAAACATGTAATAGTATTATCCTGTATTTTTGGAAAAAAATATTTTGAAGGTCAATAGTTTTGAGCAGTAACATGCGAATAGAACGCTAACAATAGAAAATATCGAATAGTTTTGTTTTTTACAATGAATGTTCAAAGTGGCCACCAATTATTTGAGTTTGAGTTGAGTTGTTGGAGAGAACAGTACGCCCTGAACTCTACCACATTTATTCAGCAGAACCAAAAATTTACCAATATAAAAATAATATATATCTGTAAATTAACGAAACAAAAACAAGGTTTCTCTATAATATATGAGCGCCTAAGTTTAAAAACTTGTATGCGCAAAAACAGACCAAAACAGTAATTAATTGATAAATATCGTGCAATATATATTTTTTGTATAAAATCACTCAACTATACAAACAAAACATGATACACGATATACACAAAATGAAAGAAAATTTCATATTTTTGTAAGTAATAGATTTAACTTAAGATCACAGAAAAAAAGTGTCACAATAATATCAAAAAGAAAGAGATGGAACAAATAGGCAGATCAATCTACCTCAAAGCAACTTAAAATAGACGCATAAATTGTTCACGATTTTCCCAACAGAACATATTAAACGAAATATTAAATTTTTTATTATTTCCAATATTCCTGATATTAGCAGGAATCAAATTGTAAAATTTAGGTGCAAGATATGTCACAAAACGCAAATTTAAATCTCGCCTGGACTGCGGGACGTTCAGGTTATGAGTGGTGTTTGCTCGGGTCATATAATTGTGGGACACATAATTTGTATTTAATTTCTTACTTGCATGTACAAAACTACATACTGCAAGGATATATAAGATTTTAATATTGTTTATTTCTTGTGAATAAAGTTGCATAGTGGTATATAATCTAGGTTTTTTTAGAATGATCCTTACAATATGGTTCTGCACCACTTTTAGCTGCCCAAGATTTGAACCGTACATCCCACCCCACACAAGTATGCCATATACCAATAGTGGCACCACAAGTGCTTTGTAAATCATTAATAGTAGTTTAATGTTCAGTATATTACGAAGAGCGTAGAATTTATGAATGAAAAATCTAATTTTTTTGCTCAAATACAGCACATGTCGGTCCCACTTCAAGTGCTTATCAACAACAACCCCCAAATATTTAATTTCATTTACTTCTTTCAAAGGCTCATCAATATTATCAAGTTTAATTTGATTAAATGCTGGTCTATTAGCCATGGTTATAGAGAAGGCAATGTAATGAGTTTTTTTTATATTCAGAGTTAATTTAAATGTGTCCAGAAGGTTTTTAATTTTTGCAAAATCAGTCTTCAATTTTTCACCCGTTGATTCCCATGTCTCTCCATGAAACACCACCACAGTGTCATCAGCATAGGCAATTACATCGCCATCAACTGCAAGACTGCAGAGGTAATTTACATATATATTAAAAAGAATTGGCCCAAGTACTGTACCCTGTGGAACTCCATGCTGAACCGTCTTAGGTTCACTTAGAACGTCCGCAATCCTGACACACTGAATCCTATGCATTAAATAATCTCTAAATACACTTAACACAGCACCCCTAACTCCATGTCCCTCCAGTGCTTGGAGGAGCATAGGATGAGATACCGTGTCAAATGCCTTTGCTAAATCCAAAAACAAAGCGATGCACTTATCACCGTTATTTAAATGATACATTATTTTAGTCGCTAATTCATAAACCGCATGTGATGTGCTTAAACCTTGCCTAAAACCAAACTGATTCTCAGATAACAACTTATTTGAGTCCAAGAATGCAACCAATCTAACCTTAAGGCATTTTTCAAATATCTTTGCTAAATTTGAGATTATACTTATTGGTCTATAATTACTTATATATTCTTTATCTCCTGCTTTGTGAATAGGTGATACAACCGATATTTTAAATTGTTTAGGTACTTTGCCCGTTTTGAAAATCAGATTGATTATATGAACTAAGGGATCCAAGAGATATACATGTAGTTGTTTGATTATTTTAGTCGTTAATTTATCTAATCCTGGAGAGCAACTATTTTTTAGACTCATTATATGTTCAATAATTTCATTCCTGTTGGTCGGTTTTAAATACATTGAATAGGAAGGGCTATTTATAAATTGAAAAGGTGTGGGAGGGTTCCCAATTTTATCTGACATTTCTCTGCCAATATTTATAAAAAAGTTATTTGCAAAATCAGCAATTTGCTTTTTATCAATAATCATGTCATTTTTTTCATCCTTTAGGTAAGTTATAGGACATTCTGTTTGGCTTTCATTTGTTACCTCTTTAACTAATTTATAAACTTTTTTGATATCATGCGAGCTTTGATTAAATTTACTTTTATAGTACTCATTTTTTGTAAATCTTATTATTTTATTAAGACGGTTTCTATATTCTTTGTATTCCGATATCTCTGCTGGAGACGGGTTTAGCTTAAGGGCTCTTTTCAGCTTATCTCGGTTTTTCATAGATTTAATTATTGCATTTGTAATCCACGGTTTAAGCTTTTTATAATTATTCAGGGTGTTTTTAACAAATTCTGACTTTTCTATAATATTACTTAATTTTTTAAAAAGGTAATTGGTTGCTTCCTCTGCTTGATCAAAAACCAAACTGTAGTTCCAGTCTACCTCAGATGCTAAGTGCTTCAATTTATTCATATCAATACATTTAAAGACATTTCGGCAGTTAGATTCTGTAGAGTTTACAGCGAAGTCATCTGAAACATGAAGCATGAGAGGTAGATGGTCAGTTATGTCATGTTCTATAATATAGCTATCTATTTTTCTGGAGGCTGCTTTGATTTTGTCGCGCACGAAAAGATGGTCGAGACAGGTTTCACTCACCTCCCTCGTAACCCCCTGACACAATGGAACAAACCCATGCGAGAACATTATGGAAAGATACCTGTTTACATCAACATTATCCTTACTTAGAAGATTAATATTAATATCACCCAAAAAAATATCAATGTTACTATTACTACTAACATTAGTTTCAAAAAATATATTTAAGTCATTCAAAAATTCATGTAAACTCGAAGATGGAGATCTATATAAAGCAAATATAGTATAGGTAACATTTTTTACAGACAATGCAATTTTAGTTATGGTAACTTCTGAATTCCGTAGTTTATAGTTGACAA